CACACAGTAGTATGAAACTTCAACTGCGTGAAATACACAGCAGTATGAAAATTCGGCTGCGTGAAACACACAAACTTCACGCATGCGTGGAGTGTATGGAGTGTACGGGAGTGATTCACGCAATGGTGCGAATAGTCACGGCCATCATTGAAGATAGATCCCCAGAAAACGGTGATGTGTCCCTGGAAATTAAAACTTTTTCCCCTGTCTCGGGGAGTAGTCAATTCTAGTTGAATCCGCGAATTCGTAAATTTCACGACATTCACAGTTAAAAATTTTCATCTGAATTTTCCGTGCCAAATTCCGGAAATTTTTGTCGTGTTCAAGTTCCGCTGAAATCAGGAAATCTTGTCATCGAAAAATCAAATATTCCATTGATTTTCTGTTCAATTATTCTGTGGAAATTCAGAAAAATCAGGAAAATTCGGGAAAGAATTGACAATTCACGTTATTTTATTTCTAATATTCATATTCCACCGAAAACTCATGAATTTCCGTGAATTCTACTTGAGACTGGAAATTTCATAACCATTTCTCCCTAAATTCGATTCAATGTCACTCTCACGAGATTTACTCAAAACTGTTAAAAATGTCTAACAGTGTATTTCACGACTAAATAGAGCCAGGCATGATTATTGGCATGTATCATTGGAATCTCCAGAGGTCAGTGAAGTCCCCACTCATCCGGGTGGCCGGTGACACTGCAGCTGCGGAACTTGTGGTAATGAACAAATTCCACAGACTGACTCACTGTACCAATCATCCAGGCCACCTTCCCCTGCCCTTCCAATCTCATTTCTCTCGCTCGCACCTGGCTGGCACCTTATCAAACCCAATATCCGTCCGCATACCGGCTGCGCGCGATGGACCAAACGTCTGGCTGGAAGCGAGCGGTTCTGGAATTTGTCCCTGAAATTTAACAGCAATTTTATTTCTCCCATTTTATTGCCCTTTAGTCCACCCGTAGCGATCGCATCCATAATTCATCAATATTCCGGCGATTTTAATGATCAATTCCATTCGCCTCCCGTACTGGAAAATCAAACATAACAGTACTCGTAGGGAAAATACCGCGGCGAGGCGTCTCAGCGTGGATTCGCTTGACTTCGTCTCTCCTCTGGGCGATCGGATGGCGGCCACACGATCGGCATCAACGAGCACTGCCGAGCACCACCGAACAATTCATTCGTACGAATAAACGCTAACGTATACACGTGTCCCGTGTCAGTCGGTACCAAGGAACGAACAAGACGCACCGAGACTTGACAAAAGTCACTCAATCAATTTTCACCAAAACTTTCCAATCACACTTGAAGTTTCACCTGTTTTCCCATCATTTCTACGTTTTACTTCATCAGCTTCGGCTGTCGTTGTCGTGCTTGGGCCTTCGTATTTTGCGAGCGTTTCAATCGTCGTGATTGTTGGTATTGCGCGATTCATTTGAATGTGACCGGTGCATGGACCTTCGGGCATCAAATTCAAAAATCGTGATTGACAATTCGCTTATGTCTCTTCATCTCGGGATGAAATACTGTTATCAGTGCATGCGATAACGTTATGTCTGCCCAATGGGCGAGTCTAATTGAAACGTGTTGTCTACGTGAAATTGAAGTTGAGTGAAATCGTGAGCCGATTCTGCCGGTTAATAAATGTCATGCACCTTAATTAATCGTTAAGGTGCTTTGACCCGTGGCTTAAACATCAGTGGGGTTATGCAGTTACAATATTTATCATTGGATTGCCTCAGCGTCTCTGTTGATTGTGAGATAACACCTAAGATAATGGATGATCGAACTACGCCCAATCCACCAACACTGCATAATCGAAGTTTTCTTCATCGCAATGGTATCATCGGAGTGAAAGACTGTAAATTGGAGGGTCTGGCCTTGAAGCGCAAGAGTTTACCACTACAATTGATTCCAACTGATATTGTCACCATTGAAAATGGAACGCACAGTGTCGACGATGTGTCAATCACACCGATCGTCAGCAATTCCTCGGAACAATTGAATTTCAAGGTTCATTATTTTATAATACTACGGTGTAACTCACTTTAACGATCCTCATAACTTGGATTTTATTGTCTAATACCGCATTTTGTGGGCGATTGTGTAAATTTTCGATAAATTTTCGTCGTACCAACTGTATATTTCCTACAAACTTTAACAATGATTGCAGATTAAATTGTTAATTGGGTACTTTCGCACACTTGACAATCACTCAAGGTTTTCACTACTTAATTATTCCGAAGAATCCTCAGACCGGATCCAACAGTGTATGTAAACAATAAATTAATTGCATCCAATGGTGTATGCACTATTCATACTTGAGTGTGTTTCTCACTTTTCTTCAGCTGCTTTGCATACGTTGCACAATTTTTGCACTGCCATCGCACTTTATTCTCATCGTAAATGTACACACCTGTGTTTTGTTAATTTATTTTTTATTTAGAGGGAAGATCATATCTAAATAACATTTTTATGTTCTTAGTGGTCTTCATCTGATGAAATTATTTAATTTGCTAAGCTTTGTGGGATAATATCTGCATTGGAGAAAGAATTTTGAAGGAATTGAAATACTGACTGTCCGCGACTCGACATTTTTTATCAGTTTGGAGAATTTCCAGGGAATTCCGCGTATCAGATATCTGATGCGAAACTCTCGAATGGGGATATTAATAGCGTTGAACAAGGGATTGAATAGCATTTTCATGTTCGTGATGCTCTACATCCGATAAAATTATTAAATTTGTGGGGCTTTGTAGCATAACATCTACATTAGATAAAGAATTTCGGAGGAATTGAAGTGCTAAATGTCCCTGACTTCACATTTTTTATCAGTCAGCAGAATTTTCATTGAATTTCGCTCGCTCAAAAGTTCTCAGATTTATCGCTCTTTCAAAAATAATGAATTTCGTGAATCAGGTATCTGATGGAGAACCCTCGAATGAAGATATAAATAGCCCTGGAGATGTGATTGAGGAGACGAGAGACAGTGGAAATGGAGAGGCGAGTAAACAAGAAGTACCAACGATAGCTCCAGCGAAGTCTGTCGAGGATCTCGCGAATAAAGAGGACGTTGACACAACAGTTTCGTGGGAAAAGTTGAATTCCGAGATTGTTGAGAGTACATGTCAAAAGAAACCCGTTGAAAATAACGCTGCAGATTTAAATGACAATGACAAATTACTGAGTACAAAAGTTCATTTCAAGGTAAAACCCAAGTGGGGGTTTACGAGAACTGTTATGCGTTATGTGCCAAACAGAGCAAAGAGGTTTAAAAAAATGAGTAAAACGAGACAACGAAAAATTGAAACGAGGGATGAGGATTGCTCGTCTGGAAAAATATCACAGCCGACGAATTTCGTTTATCTCGCGGGTACAGCACGGTGGACATGGCTGAATGATGCGCCTTTCAATTCGCATTCTGGGCCTGTTATAACTCACGCGGAAAAATTCGCGAGACTACCGATGGTGGGGGAGGAGGACGAAGCGAACAAACAAGTTGGAAATAATGAGCAAAAAATGACTAGAAGAAATTCTGATAGTCAAGAGCAAACAGTGAAGATCAACGATGATAATTGCACCAGACCTCGTGCGAATTCCAGCTTCTTGTGGAGTAATTTATCGAAGAGACCTGTTGAAGTGGCCCCGGAAAATGATGAACAAGAGAATTATGACGATGTGGGCGTATCAGTTGTTGCTCATGTCAGTTGATAAAATTCTATTTTCATGAAAAATCCGGGAATGCATGATTGAGTGCGATTTTTATTCCAGGAAAATTCCGAGGATGTGTATGATGATGTGGGTCCACCCGTGACATCGGTCGACGTATCACCTTCCGGACTTGATTACGACGATGACGATCAGGTTTACGATGACGTCATGCCGCCGAGTAATTTATCCAGCGGGATGTGTAATGGGATTGATGGAGAGGGGCGGCCTGGATTCCAGGGAGAAAGAGGTGATGCGGCAAATTGCACTGTGAATTCGGATCAAACTCTCTCTAATAAAAAAGAGGACTCTGAGGAGGACTTGATTTATATGAGAAATGATTATTCCTCGGTCGACGAGGATGCGGATGACGAGGACACATTGTATGATGATGTCGGGGTAAATTGCCAGTCTCGTGTCAACAGCCTTTATGCTGGCTCAACTATTGTCTCACATGTTGAATCGAGTTGTGGAAAGGAATCCGAGTGGGAGGATCTGGAGGAATCAATGTCTGAACATGTGTAAGTCAAAAAACTTTCTTCTATCTATCGTTCTTGGGGGCTTTACAAAGAATTTTGGGAGGTGCGTAAAATATTCATCGACATTTCCCTCTGAAATAATTAACTATCAAGGTAATTATTAACCAGGTATTAATCAAGATATGTACCTCATCAGAGTGTTGAAAAAACTTTTAAATTTTAATTTAGATCGACAAACAATCAAGAGGGTCAGTCCACCCCGTCAAAAAAAAAAACAGGCAGGTGGACGAGAAAAGTGAGACGGCAGAGATCAAAGGCACTGCGTAAAAATTCATCGCGGACCTCCAGTCAAACAATTCGAGTCTCCCGAGAATCAGTCGTCTCTGGTGAGTATCCTTGATAAATCGTCCACAGAATAACTCGGACTGAGGCTCGTTTAAACAGCCCCATCCGAAAAAAACGGGCGGGAGGGAGGGGGGTGGGGGGGCAACTTTATACGCACAAGTGCCCGTGTGCCTGAGTAATTATAATCCCCTGCACGATCACGATTTACTCGGACTATCGTGCGTGCGTACACGGGAATAAAAACAAATAAAAATCCAAAATAGTCGTGTACAAATGAATGAACTTAATGATGAAAGCTGAGAATGCTGATTAACTGACGAGACTTCTCCATTTATTTATTATGTACAGTTTGTATGTAATTAATGAAACTTTTTCTTCTCGTTACGGAAGCGAAAATTCTCGTGTGCATGAAATAATCGCTCTTACTGGCCGAATATCACACGCTAACGTCACCGAGTAAAAGTTTTACCTCGATGAGTGCCTCACCAATTATTCCTAGCATCTAGCGCTCTTCCTCTTTCCTCATCGCGAGGAGTTTGAAGATTTTTTTGTGAACGATCTCTCTTATGTAACGAAATCAGTGAAGTAAGACTAAATATTGGGATGGGAACTCCGAGGGAAGGCACGATAAGTGTGGAATAAAAAATGCTGCAGAGTGGAGGAATAAAAAAAATTACCGAGAACAAAGAGATGCATCGAGGAGGATGAGGAGGAATGGATGAAGAGATGCAGCAAGTATAGCAAATACTGAGTATGAGGACGGGAGATACCAGAGTAAAATGAGCCTGGAATGTATACTCTTGTACCTCTGGAATACAGCTACAGGCAAGTGTTGTAGAGGTATTAAGAGAGCTGGTTGGTTCACGAGGCAAGGTGAAAGCGCATATTGCGCGTTGTGTTGGTTCTCACTCTCAGTCACGGGCGAGCCGGCAAGAACGGCGAAGTGATTTCAAGTTGTACTTGCTTACGTACCAGTGGTAAAACTCGTTAGTGACAGACAGTCGTGTGCACCTCATCGCCACGAACAATTATTACTGAGTATTTTCCATGGCACTGTTTATACAGTACAAGAATAGAGAGAATCGGGCCAGGAAGTAAACCATAGAAAGGTGTTTTTTAAATAGTTATAATGAGGCAGAATCTGAAGACACTGTCGAGAAGACCAAATACACAAGGTATCTATGCCAGACTATTGCGTCGCTCTGTATTTATATCGAAATTTGAATTTTAGTAGATATGGAAATTTGTTAATTCACTCGAGGCAAAACAAATTGGGGAATTATTCGGTAATACTGAGAGTTTAAATCAATCAGGCATTACGAAATTGGGCAAGTGATGAGATCATTTTTATTGACCTTGAGAAATGATTTTCAAGTGGCTGTCAGCCTTGGTACGGGATCGGTTCTCCTTGTTGGATCGGCTGAATCGTCGGGTGGGGCGAGCACGGGGGAAACGTGGAGAGATTGTGGTGCGACAAATGATAATAATGGTAACGTCAACGGTGGTCCTAAGGAATCAGCGAGCAGTGCTACACAGGGCCTGGTGCAACTGAGAACTGTCGAGAGGGATGAGGCGTCCGTGGATACCCAGGAGACGTCCTGTTACGTTCTTGAAGGTCTCGCTGAGAATGATTCTAATGCGAGTAGAGTAGAGACGTGATGTATTATCACAATAATTTTGTTATTTCATCTCATTTGTTCATGTAACAGTGGAATTATTAATAAAATATTGTCATCAAGTTGTGTCACTCAGTTTTAATCACAGCCCGAATAACATACCTGGTGGTAGTTTAGTCTTAATTTCTCAGTGTTCAAGCGTTATTGATTATTTATGTGATGAATTTATCAACAGATACAGCATCTGACGACTCGAATTACGAGACCCTGTGCTCGGAGCCGAGTGACTCGATCAATGGCGTTGAAACCAGTATTGAAAATTTAATGGAAATTCCGGCAATTCAACAAGCACCGTCGAGACCCGTTCCACCCCCACCGAGAGAATCCAGTCTCACGGAGACATTTGGTAAACGTATAAAGATGTTGAGGAGAACGTGGAGTATCACGAAAGGCAGTATTGGACGTATGAGACGAAAAACATCGACATCCAATGATACCACTGAGCCTAACGTCGATGATACTGGACTCAAGTCATCGGGCTGTGAAAATTATCAGAGTGACTCGAGAAAGTCGAGTCAAGCCTTCAATTTGAGGAAGCATTTTCAAAGGAATGTGTCGTCATACTCGACATTTTACCTCGATAATGAGAATGAAATTAAGGGGAAAAATAATAACGGTAGTGTCGATGAAATATATGGTAATACCAATGGGATGAGTGATTCCGAATCCTGGAAGACGGATGCACTCTCGATATCGAGGACGATGCTTGATAATTCAGGTGAGAGTTCTTTTTTATTTCAATTATAATTGCATCCGTTGTTTCCGTATTCGTATGGCATCGAAAAGGCGATCCTTTTACGAATTCCTCGGCGAAAGTGCTTCACTCAACATTTTCACTCAAGTTCAATGTACAGTTGTACACGTTAATATAAAATTATCGTTGTCTCTTTCTCCTGTGAATGTAGATGATTACAATATGCTAGCTGAGGAGCCGCTGTATCAATTCTATGCGGCTGCCACTGTGAGAGGGGCTTTCCAGTCGGATTCCGATAGTAACTATGGGGAGGACGACAGCAGTTCAATATCTTCACCCTCGACCTCTGAGTTGGGGAGGCCAGGGCACAGGACATTGTGGTGTGAGACTCCTCAGGTCAAAAACACTCAGCTTCTCGGTGAGTGCAGACGTGTTGCAGGAGTGATTGGGTAAAACATGATTGAACAAAACAATTTTTTACATTTCTCATTTAATTATTTTGGCCTAGACTCATGTTCAAACGTCAACCAGAATTTATGTCTGAACGTAAACTCATTTTTCCGCATAAATTCATGCAATTCGTTTCAGAAAAATTGACCCCAGACGAGAAAAAAATCCAAGAAGCAAAATTCGAGATCTTCACGTCCGAGGCGTCCTACCTAAACTCCCTCCGAGTGCTGGTAAACGAGTTCCTGATAAATCACGAGCTTGTTTACGAGTCCCTCTCGGTGTCGGATCGTGAGAAGCTCTTTGGCAAGGTTCCAAGTGTGCTGATCGCCTCCGAGAGACTCCTCGGGGAGTTGGAGAGCACCTGGCGACAGGATCCAATGCTACGTGGTCTTCCGAATGTGCTGCTTCAGCACGCCGAGCGGTGTTCCAAAATTTACATTGATTACTGCTCGAACCAAGTCAGCATAGACTCAACACTGAAAGAGTTAAAATCGAGGAAGAGTAAATTCCTGGATACTGTCACGAGGATTGAGGCGCATCCAGCTTGCCAGAGCCTCTCGCTGCACTCGTTTCTGATGCTGCCGATGCAGAGGGTCACTAGGCTGCCCCTTTTGGCAGACGCTGTCCTGTCGAAATTGTCTACCGATCATGAGGAGCGATTGGATTGGGAGAAAGTGGTGTCAGTTCTCGGTGGGGTCGTTACAGAGTGCAACGAGGGGGCGAGGACTGCTGGGAGGCAGATTGAGATGGAGACACTGGCCAGGAAACTCGTGTACTCAGCCAAGGTGACGCCAATTGACCTTCGAGGGAGATATCTCGTGAGAAGTGGGCCTGTAACTCAGATCATGGCGAAAGCTGGGAGTGAGTATGTCCTCACCTTCAGGAAGAAATATCAAAAGACTCCTCTGTACCTTCTCCTTCTGACTGATTACATCCTCGTGGCTAAGCTCAAGTCGAATACCAGTCAGGAGGACACCTACACTGTGATCGATGCCTGCAAGAGGAATCTTGTGGAGCTTGAGAAAGTGCCAGATGATTCTCCATTTGCTGGCAGACATGCGATGGTACTGACTCTGCTTGAGAATCACAATGGCAGGCATGTCGAGTATATTCTGTCCTGTCAGAATGGCACTGAGAGGGAGAGGTGGCTGGACGCAGTGTTTCCTCCAGTGTCGAGTTCTGTTGGAGAAACTCTTTATGAATCTTGGGATTGCCCTCAGGTGATGGCGTTGTACTCTTATGCACCTAGTCAGCCTGATGAGCTGTCTTTGCAACCTGGTGATGTGATAAATGTAGTTAGGAAAATGGCGGATGGGTGGAATCATGGGGAGAAACTTGTTGGGGGCGAGCAGGGATGGTTTCCGGGGAATTTTGTTAAGGAAGTCGCTTCGGAGCATGTCAGGGCGAGGAATTTGAGGCAACGGCATAGGCTACTGGCACTCAGTGAGTGCTTGTTGCAGCAGAGGGCTAAGCAACCGATGAATCCCAGTCGGTAGTGGGAAGGAGAATGGACGATGCCAAACGTTGATTTGTCACGTCTTGATATCTTCGAAAATGTCTGAATCAAAACATTTTCGCAGGGCATTTCATAAGCTACAAAAAATGTTTGTTGATGATTTCTCCGTAAATCACTCGTTAATGGGGCAAATGCACAATCAATTGAAATATTGGGGAATTTTTGGGGAATTGATAGAAAATATAGAATATAAATCCATATATTGATTCTCTGAAGTATTCAAAAAATTGTATATACATGTGTTGCTATAAAATAGGAATGTTTGTATCTGTTTAATAAATTCATGTTTATGAAAATATCTTCGTAAATTCGTGAGGTCTATTATGATGAATGAAATAAAATGAAATAAACATTAAAAAGATTTTACAGAATTCAGGGAGAGCTTAAAAATTGAAAAAACACTCTCTGCGAGAGTCAGTCGTATGCCTCTTGCCACTGGTGTGGGTAAAATACGTGAATTGAAAATAATATTTCAAGTGTAATCTCGCAATTGGTACTGAGAATTAAATTCGCATTTTTGAGTGGCCCGATGGCTTCACATCGAACAATTTTCTCACAAAGTAGACCTGCAGTACTGTTGTCGCTATTATGACTATCATTTGTACAATTGACCATCTCTGTACGTAAGTGTTATTGTCTAACAGTAGATTCAGGTCTCTGGCTTCTCTGCTTCTGCTCGCGTGCTGCGACTGCAGCATTTCGTTTATGTTCTTCTCGACATTCACGATTGTTGTCTGTGAAAACAAGGGAATTACTACTGATTGTAGTTGAGAAATTTGAATTAGTGAACATTGTTTCGGAAGAAAAATACCGTGAAGTTCTCCACTGAGAGGTTCAACTCTTCCAGTTCTTTTGTGAATTTGTCCCACTGGTCGTACCTAAAAAAAAAATCAAACGGTTGAAAGGATGAATGGGCTTTCGGTATGCGTACGAAAAAAAATTCACGAAAAAATCTAGCGAATTCTTTGAAAAAAATCTAGAAAATTCTATTGCATGTAGAAATGTTCAATAGAAAATATTCTATCGAAAAACAAGATAATTCAACTTTTGTATGTAAGTTCTTCTATTCAAATATTTTCTATAACAAATTTTTGGCTCAAATTTCCTACGTTCTTTTGTTTAATTTCACAGTAAAGGAAGAGATTTGAGGTGAAAAAAAAAATTGGAAAATTCATATCGATAAAATTCTACTGATTTTTCATATAAAATAATTGCTATTGGCTATATTCTATTTTAAAAAATGTGGATACAACTGCCGAATTCTTCAATAAAATCGACCACAAACTAATAGAATTTTCAACAGAACAGTTTTTATCTGAATTTTTTTCCTACGTGTATTCATCAACTCTGTCCATTACCTGATAACTGTGATATAGAGATTGACGAGTTTAGCTGCAAATCTTGAGAATTGATTATCAATGCAGACGCTGTAGTACCCTCCAACGCCCGATTGATCCTGATAATCAGCATTGGCTCGCCACTGATATGGATGAACTATTTCACCAGCAGGATTACGCACAGCGAATCCAGCTTTACCATCACCTCCTCTCAAAACCTGTTCAAGTACATCATGTAGAGTTCATTCTCGTAATCAAAGCGTGTTTCATTCAAATATTGTAATCTACGGTTCACCATATGGGCCAGGACATTCCGGAGTAAATACGGCGTGACGTGGCACAAAGTGTCAGAAAGTATATTAAGAGATTTGGGGGCCATGCTACTGAACACATCATTCATTCTTTTTTCCTCACGGTTTTTTTTCGCGAAAGTGAATGGCCATTTGCCTGCAAAGCTCCGAGACGGGAATGTTATAAATTAATTTGTAAAATGAGCACCTGAAAACTGACGAAAAATGTTGCTCCAGGGTTGACGTATTGGAAGTAACAGTCCTCCTTGCCGGCGTCAATGTGAACTTTGTAATCCATAGCAACAGCTGGCAGTGTCTCATACCACGGCCTCGTTGTTTCACAATTAACCAGGACGATTAACGTCCCGATTATTAACAAACACTTGACTAGATTCATTGAATTTATTGGTCTCTCATTATCTGAGCACTATTTCAGCCATGTGACAACAGGTGCGAGATCGGAGGAGCTGAGGATTTTCGGATGGAGAAAGTCTACCTCCCACTTCAACTCGCATTCAACTTATTTTTCTCATGCATCCGCAAAATGGAGCATCTGAGGAGTGACCAAAAAACACTCCATTCCATTCTTCTCAATTTTTTGACCGTGCCCTGAGATAATATTGCTGGATCCACGTCCCAAATAATTTTGAAAAATTTTTTCATACCAAATACGTGGAATTCATTTGTACATTCTACATTAGCTGAGAGTAATGAGAATGGGCTCTTTAACACCGTTCAACGGTAAAACAAATATTTCGTTTCTTACCTGACGAGTATGTCGCATTCTAACTGACCGATATCCGATGACACCACTTGTGTTGAGCAATTTGCGCAAATTTGATGTGGACTTTAGCTAGAATTTTTTCGTCAAGTGAGCGTTCATTCTGTATTTATTCACCCTCTAGATGCCAATGAAACCCTCACAGGGCACAGAAATGTCGAAATAAAAAATTGTTTTTTCATCTGGATCGAGGGTCAGATCTTGGATTTTGTCAGGGGGAAAGTCGACTTTCGTCAAAATCGAATTTTTTCGCCAAGTGAATGTTGATTCTGTATTTATTCACTCTCTAGATACCAATGAAACACTCGCAGGCCACAGAAATGTAGAAATAAAAAATTTTCATTTTCACCTGGATGAAGGGTAAAAATGTCGAAATTAAAAATTTTCATTGTCACCTGTTTTTTTTTGTTTTTAGGAGGGGACGTTGAAATGATGAAAAATGCATATTATAAATTAACAAATTTATTTCTTTTTCAGTCTTAATCATAGATATTATCAATTAGTTCAACAACACTTATGATTCAATATTTAATTTATGACACATTTGATGAGATTTTAAAAAAATTCAATCAACTCGTTCTCACTATAAAGTCTATATACAGATTAATGAGTTTCGTGTACAACACGTTAAACTTCCAAGCCATCGGATGAGGTATCAGAAATATGACCAGCGTTTTCTTGATGCCTGGATCGGATGTGCCTGTCCAAATCCCGTCGCCTTACTAGAACTTTTCCACAATGTTCACACCGGTATGGGGTTTCTCCGTCCGCGTGGAGTCTTACATGCTTGTTGAGATTACTTGGATCTCCAAAGGGCCTCAAGCACACCTTGCATTTAAGTGGTTTGTAACCAGTGTGCGTTCTAATGTGAATTTTCAGGCCGTATTTGCGTGAGTAAACTTTTCCGCAGTAAACACAGAGATGACCCTGTTTCGACTTTCCAATGTTGCTGTAAAATGTTTCCATTTGGGCCGCATGAACATCAGCGTGAATAGGAGGGGGCGGTAATTGATGCCTATGATGATGATTATAGTTTACACTATTTATTTGATTGGCAATGTGAGTGCTATGACTAGTGTGACTTGTGTAACTGTGGCGGCTCGACGATCTACTCATGTACGGCCGGAATGCCGAATTTCGCTGAGTTATAGTGCTACGCACGGGTGAAACCTCCGTCGACGAACTGATTGGAGACACTTGCGTCGATGAGGTCGGTGATGGGCCATTCGAAGGAGTTGGCGAGGTATTCGCTGGTAACTTACTGGCATTTACTGTTTTTACCGAGGCTCGGAGGGACTCGGATATGTGAAATTTGAAAGAACTCCCAACGACTGGTGGAAAGAGATTGAGGGAGAGACTCAGAGGTGATGCTAGCGCGAATTCCTTTGCCAGAGTCGCCCAGAGATGATTAGGATCCAGTTTATTACATTTTAAAGCTAAATGGATTTTTAATGGGTTTGGATATTCGAAGAGATTGTTGCAGATATGACAAATGTATCGATTTTCACCTGAAACGAGAAAGTGAAAAATAAATGAATCAGTTAATAAATTTATATTGTCATTTTTGTTGAATTATTAGGGGAGGATGGGGCAAAACGGCCCCCCTTCAATCGTCAATATTTTCCGATTCGATAATCCGATTGGGATGAGTTAGAGCTCGTTTTGAAGAATGAAAAATTATCTTCAAAATGAAGTTGAAACTGGGAATTTTCACAATGTCATTCACAAGTTATTGACAATTGAAGGGGGGCCGTTTTGCCCCACCCTCCCCTATTTTATGGTACGAGTGAAAAAAGGGCACTTTTTGCAAGCTTCGCGCGCAAGAACCGCCTTTTTCTCACCAGTATCGTAAAATATCGCGCGATACGAATGAAATAGTGTATTTCGTCATTAGACTGAAAAAAACTTTTCTGGCAAATATGAGTTTGCAGCCCGAGTCGAAGGCGAGAGACGAAAAAAATGTCCCTCCTGACGAGTGCGATTACAGACCTCGCGTTCGGTTCCGCCGGAGCCCTCACTCGTCGACAACTACTTTTTTTTCTGAATGGAAACTTTGTAATCTTATGATCTTCTAATTTTGCTTGGAAATGATGGAGATTGTCATGAAACGCCAATATATGATGTTTTCAGAAAATGTATGTGTGTAAACCAATCTGTATGCGAATTTTTTTCATAAATCCTCGAAAAAAAGGAGTAAATTCGAAGCTAAAATCTGAAATTTAGGGAAATAATTGACATTGTTTGGGAGCACAGCTGAGTGAAATTTCAGATTTTCAAACCTCGCGTTCGGCTCGGCCTGGAACACTCACGTCAACAATTCACTTTTTTTCACTTGTTTTTTTTTCACTATTTTCTTATTATCTGTGGATCATTTGAATTATAATATATTATTTTTTTTATCTCACCTTGAATATTAAGGTATGGTGTTAGGAACGGCATATGCATCATTGCAAGGATGTTTTCGGTGAACCACATGAGTAGGGGTTCGCCAGGTGAAATAACGCGGATTGTCTTCAGGACAACGCCCTCCTCGGTACTCATTAGTAGCACATTACAGCTTTGACAATCTTTGGCCAAAGTCACTATTTTTATCCAACAGGCAGAATTCACTAATCCATTTACACAATACAGTCGTCCATTGTTATCAGCCACTTCTACCTAATAACGCAATGAAAAAAAAAATTTTCACCTCAAATCACAATGCTACATTTACACAATAAAGTATAGAATAATAATTTGAGGGACTTACGTATTGGATGACCGACGAACTTTTCTGTGCCAAGTCATTGATGTCGATTACCTCTGTTGAGGCATCCGGATTAAGTAGAGTTGCAGCTCTGACACCAGGCCTCGGTGCTAGTCGGCTCGCGGAGATTGCCGTTCTTTCGAGTGCTCGAATATTCATGATTAATGAGTGATCATGTTGTACCATAGAATACAGAACGGTTCCACGAATGTCAATGTCCATTAATATCACTTTATTTATTACTTTTTCATGAACAAAAATCAACTTTATTCTTCTCCTTTGTTTTCTTCTTCTGCTCAAACGTCCCGGCGTTGGTGTTGATAAATTAATTATATTTTATTGGAAATAAATAAACCACGATCAACGATGGTTATGACACTGTATCGGGGTGTCAACTGAGCGCGACCTGTGCATTGCAAGTGGCTTAAATATTCTGCTTTGGGGTTGGACCACAACAACCCCAAAATCGTAGACATCAGGGAGGGGTAAAGCGATGGCCAGTTTTCCTTTTTCACCCCACCCACTTACAGCTACTAGCCTATGCCCCCTCTCTTTTTTCGGTATACGTAATTGTATTTAAAGAGCCCCCCCTGTTTTAACCCAGGGGGTCTGATGGTCTTTAGTTCAGCATTTCCCCCTCCCTTGGACTCGTCGATTGTCGAAGTGATTTTGTGACAGTAGTGGGGGTACAAAGTGAAGAATCGTAGGGCACGTGCTGCAAGGTGCATCTCCTGCCTATGGCGAGACGTCTCCCTGACTTCTTGGCGCCGGATTTGCCACTCTTTGGGGCTCCATTCTATTGAACAAATCGTCAGTACCATTTCGGAGAATTTCATTATTTTTTTTCCTCGAATAATATTTCCGTTTTCTTACGTAACTTTTAAATATGAAAATTCATGCAAATATTGAGAGATTGTTATACTATGGTAAAATACCTATAACAAATTGTGGCCATTTCAAATGATGATGGAATTAATTTGAAATAAAATTTGTGTAGATATCTAGACTAAAAATCTATTATAGCTTTCTCACTATGTACATCATGCATTATTCTGGATTATAAACCGCAGCATCCTGAAAAATTTAGATGAAAAATTCTCATTTCAGTGCATTATTCTTAAATGCAGAAAAAAAAGTTCAATATCAATATTGGAGGCCTATTGTCTGCAATCTCTGTCATTGGATGGAATTTAATTGGATGAAATTAATTTGAAATATAATTTGCGTAGATATCTAGATTAAAATCATATCATAGCTTTCTCACTATGTACATCATGCATTATTCTAGATCATAAACCGCAGCATCCTGAAAAATTTAGATGGAAGATTCTCATTTCAGTGCATTATTCTTAAATGCAGAAAAAAAGTTTAATATCAACATCGGAGGTCTATTGGCTGCAATCTCTGTCACTGGATGGGGGCTGTAAAAGCTTCATGTGAAAAGACATTGTTTGACTCAGCTGCAAACCAATGCGTGCTCTGCCCTTATGTATGGGGTGGGGGGAGGGAGAAATATAGAAGGGCGATTGTGCGGTGCACACGAAGACGCGACGAAAGGTGCATTGGACGTAATGCTTGATTACTAAATTAAATGCTTCATTCTTCTCGAACCCCTCCTCCATTATGGAATCAGTAAAAATCACCTTTATCAGATCTATCAATTCATTCGTCAATCTGATAAACCTTTGCTCGTGGGTCCCAACAGATTGTACACGTTTTACATGTATTCTTAAACCCTGCCTCCTCTACAACAGGTTACACTGAGAATTTCGACAATCAACAAATTTAGTATTACTCTAGAAAAAAAAGGATGCAGCTGTTTTGTAGTGGATACTCTCGTTGGGTGTAATTCATTCATCAGGGGATGGTCCCAGCCAGGGCGGGGTACAAGTGTTCACAAGCCGCACAGATATAATACCTACTCCCCTAGCGTGGATCTCCGGTTCCGTGCACCTATGAGCGCAAGTGTTCCTCACATTAGTCACTCCTTGTCTGTGCGCGTGCAATAACATTAACCCGTCTCTATTTTCTCATTTGCTAAGAACAAGTGTTCCATCGCTTATTTGTATGGATCGATAGTTCTATTTTTATGCATCCAGAAATGGGGAGAATTTTTTTTTTCTTCGCAAAAAAAAAAGAAGAAAAATAACGACAACAACGACTTTTTTTTTAATAGAACTGCGCTTTATTGCATTCTGCAGTGCACATGAATACTCGAACCCTCGTGCAGGGCATTGGGAATTCCCTGCACTCAGTTGCAGGGCATTCCCAATCTCTACGGAAAAATAAGAGGGCCGGGAAGGCGCAGGTTTTGTAAGTTTATCCCCTCATTTTATTCCCCCCCGTCGCCGCTGTCGCCGCATCAACCAAAAATCAGGATGTATTCAGAGAGCGTAGTAAACCGCGGACCCACAGGGTACCGAACAAGTGTTCCGCCGTGACCAATTCAAAGCCTGGGTGGCACGAGTTGCACGCATGTGTGCGCTTCCCAATGCGATATTAATATCACGATTATCATCTACGTATTATCGTTTTTCTTTTCTTGGGCAAGGGGAGTTGCGCTCCCTACCCGTGCACCGTAGAAATCGGCACTGTACGAGCTGTAGCCTCTCGGTTTATTTAATATTTTTTTATTTCATATTCTTATTGATAACAAACGCACGGAGAGAAATATTCAATAAATTGCCTATCTTTTCCGTAATTCCGGAGCGAAATGTGGGTGTAGGACATTTTACGGAACTGTCGCGGAGTTTTTCCAGAGCGTTCCGTAATTTTTAACTGAATCTCCTGTGAAAATTTACGATACCGTCACTTAAATCATTTTGTTTTACATGTATTCAATAAAAATTGCCTATCTTTTCCGTAATTCCGGAGCGAAATGTGGCTGTAGGAAATTTTACGGAGCTGTCGCGGAGTTTTTCCAGAGCGTTCCGTAATTTTTAACTGAATCTCCTGTGAAAATTTACGATACCGTCACTTAAATCATTTTGTTTTACATGTATTCAATAAAAATTGCCTATCTTTTCCGTAATTCCGGAGCGAAATGTGGCTGTAGGAAATTTTACGGAACTGTCGCGGCGTTTTTCCAGAGCGTTCCGTAATTTTTAACTGAATCTCCTGTGAAAAATTATGATGCCGTCACTTAAATAATTTTGTGAGTCAATTACGTAACCGGTGAGCGAACTGTGAGTTCCGTAATTTTTACTGAATATTTCTCTCCGTGTAGACAAAAAAATTTAATAAAGACGCATAGATTTTCATTGGACATTTGAATGAAAAATATTGTGCTATTATATAATATGATAAAGGAAAATTAATAAAAATATAATGGAGCACATGCTTCCAGTCTGGTGGCTCCTGCGACGACACCAAGACGAATCCTATTGTTCAATTTACCCTCTTCCTAGATCAGAGAGGTCGTCGACAGAGTAATAATGGTGTTTTGTGGGAGGCCATTGCATTAACTATAAAGACAATTCGATTCGGTTGTGCAAGTGTTAAAAGTATTGGCTGGCTAGGGGTAGGATATTATATGTGTGATTCACCATTCAGTGCAACTCATACATTATTAATTTACACCCCGAGAACTTGTATTCAACGTCTCGTGCATTTCCTTGTCTTGAAAACCCGCAGAAAAAAATAGAACTTGATGTGAGGTCACAATGAGTGTGAAACTCCTGAGTATAACTTTTCAAAAAGTGCATATCACATAACAATAGTCACGTGGCGCAGGGTATTGCCCATATGTTTGAAAAGCTTGTAATATGACACGTGATCGCTGGCCCCTACGAGTCCTCAAGTTAATATGCCATATCAATAAGGACATGTTATTTACCCATTAAATCTCAAGTATGCCGATCTCAATTGCTCTTTCAAAGCAGCTTTATCCTTTCGATAGCCTGCGCTTTACATTTCAGTAGCGAAGCGGTAGAAGGAGATAAGTCAATTTTAACTATTGACCAGTTTTCAATCAATATCTCGGAATCTAAGGGAGATGGCAAAATTTTTGTTGTAACCTTTTTTGTGGAGCCGATTGAGTGCTACAACAAATGTAATTACGAAAATTTCTATATCTCTCTTAGATTCGAAAATATTCCTCAAAAACTCAACTGGGAGATAAGTTGATTTATCTCCGTTTATCACTTCACTACTGATTTAGATGTTTTCAGTTTTCAAGTTTTCCAAATAAATTAAATGACAATTTTTTTTTATGTATTCCTCATCAATATTATTTAAATTGCATTTTGCAAAATATAAATATTTCTATAAACATTTTCTCATTATCAAAAAATACCCGACCTTGCTTACAAAACAGTGGATTATTTCCCATGAAGTGGCAAAAAATTTATAGATTTTTCTGAAAATTCTTTGCAATTGTTGATAATCTTTAAATTTCTCGTAACGATAGAGCTATTTTAAGTGTTCCAGTTGTTTGTGATTGAATTTGAAAAAATTATATACGTGGAATTTATGTATTTTAGGTGAAGCGTAAAGAAGAGCGTTTGACACTTGAAAATGAAGAATCATGTGCAAACCAGGTGACACCGGTCCCATGACAAACTAATAGAAAAAGCCCTACGTCAGTGTGGGTTAGAGAGAGGATCCCCCGAGTTATTTTTGTTCAAATGGAAATAATGGGGTGCCCTATATAAAACACGACTCACTGGGCACACAAGTTTCGCGCACAGGCTAAATTGGGGTCCACTACTGCTTAATTTAATCCAATACAATATGCCCTTACGCGAGGTGGAAGGGGGGAAAGAATTAGATGTAGGGTAGGTGGCTTTTTAAAAGTACCCGGACCAACTTCAATTTACTGTAAAACCTCATCCTATTATATGATTTATCTAACGCTGATTGCATTGGGCTGGTTTTCATTGACAGTACTGCTTTGAAATGAATCATTTCATTTTTTTTTGTCCACCCACTCTGTCATTTTGATATCATGTGACTCTGGAGTTTCTCGATTATTTGAGTTTTTCTGTGGATTTTAAGAATATCGTCTCCGAGACGATGAACAATGGGCACTGAGCCGCCACCATGTCATTGAGTACATTGCGGGAGGCTAAGAAGATATTACTACATACTTTTAAGACCTTTACTAATGAGGCTCGATTGATGCGACATCGTGTCGCCAAACCTAGGGGTTCTCTATCTACTTCCTATCGTAGCAGTAAAACCTCAGTGAGGGACTCTGTGTCGACTCTGGTTGCACCTAAATTAGGTACACCAACCCGATCGTTGGTGCAATCTGGAAAAATGTCATTTTACCAGGTCCCTTCTTTTCAGTCAGGTATATTCGTTTTCGGCCTTATCTCATGTCATCTTTCGCTTGATTTTTTTACAGTTCCAGAAATAAACTCACCTCTATGGTGAGCTGTATACTTCTCAGGAATAAATGACGATGCGCCTCAAAGCCATTACTGAAAGATAAATATTTTCCAAAACTTATGTTCCTCACATTATGAAATCAATTAAACCGAAATAAGCATAATGTGCAACATTTTTGTCATAATCCCTTTATTCATCAACTCACAAAAGACGATAAGGGAAACAAAAACTTAATCAATTCAGCGACTAGATTTTTTCGAATAGCTCCTGTTAATCTGCTGGACTACATTTCGCCTTTTTGCGTAAACGAATTTTCATAGTTTTCAGTAATTAATGGAGATATTAAAATATTGTCTTGCCTTGAAATGTTTGATCTTTTCAATCACATTGCAGTGGTTCTTTTTATGAAAATACAGAATCACTTGGAGAAAATGATAATGGATTTGTAATAGCTAGTAATATTACGGGCCCCATGCCTGGAATATTTACGCTGTGGATAGAGAAACCCCAGTGAAATCATCCCGGTGTCGGTAATGTTGGAGGGGAATATGGAAGGTAGCATCGGGAGACACAGAGGGTGAAGACAGAGATGGATTTGTATTGCAGCTGTGTATACTGGTATAATACGTATGGTGGTACATGAGACGGCTTCTGGCCAGCAGAGTAGTACGTACTAGTCCAATGGCTTGTCGATAATGCAAGTCAAGGGCATTTAGTTTTCCAGCAATTAATAAACAGCTCATTGAATGGCATTTGGCGATTGATAACGCTCAAAATCAACGTCTCTTCCGCCACCACTCTCTTCTATCTCCGTCTGGGAATCGTATCGTGCCACTGTTAATTCTCTCGATGAGTCATACTCTTCACCAAGCTTCTTATAGATCGTCGCCCGATTTTCGAGAATCTCCTTGATGATTTCTGGAAAAGTAATGCACGCAGATTGTAAAACTCGCGTTAAAATTCTAAGGAAAAATTCATTTTCTGTCGAATATAGTGGGAGGCTAGTGAGCTCGTAGAACAACGGGTATCCGAGATTGTACCACCAAGATATGATTATTTACGATGTTGTAACAGAAACTGCGATGGGCACAGAATCGTTACCGAAAATGGACAAGTGAAATTTACTTGAAGAAGAATGTCGCGTCACTGGGGCGACAGTCGTTGACACAGAGCTTGTTTTGTGGCAGATGCCATCGCAGTACCTGAGTTTTGTACAAGAAGGAATTGAACGGCTTCAGAAAGCACTTAACCTGTAATTATTTTACAATTCCCGGTGGGGGGGTTGCCAGTAGGTGCACAAACTTCAACTAATGGGCGATTTCATTAAGCCGACCGGTTTTCGAGACAATATTTTTGCATGGTGCACGACCATTTTCCCCATTCGTATTCTCAACTTTTTTTCACCATCATTAAACATTTAAATAACTCAATTAGGCCCGACGGCCTGGCGCAGTGAGTAAAGTCGTTGCCTCACGTGCGCAAGGTTCCGAGTTCAAATCTCGGTCGGGCAGAATGGTGAGATCTAATCATTTTAAAGTCTTGATCATCATCGCAATATACTCAACCGAGTCGAAGCGATGTAAAATAACAATTAACAAGTCACATGAAAATACAGCGATTAAAAAAAAAAAGTCAAATCGCATCGTTTGTTCAGGAGGAATCGTGGCACAAAATTTTTGTCACAGACGTACGCACACACATACACACATCTACACATACAGACAGGTACCTGAAACGGGTCAGAAGGGGTTCCAAAGGTCATGAAACGTGGAAAATGCTTAAATTTCCACATTCGATTTTCGGGGTCATTACAATAACTTCCTCCCTTCGGGTCGGGAAGTTAAAAAAAAACTCAATTAATGATATTTTTTTAGTGTACCCGCTAATATCTCGCGGCTCTCCATCACTGTGCCCATTTCCCTCTTCACTTCGTTCATGAGCCACGGAACGAAGCCCTCCTCTATGTCACCCCTTATTTCATCCAACAGGAATCCAGACATTTTCAAATCCTCCAAAACCGCTGGAAGCAATTCTGCGATGTATCCCGTCAGCAAAACTGCCGCAGCCACTCTTTCCTCGGTTTCTTGCTGTTCATGTACGGCTTTCTCGTGTTGTTTCACTCTTCGATCCTGAGAATAAGAGAACAATTTTGGATACTGTGCCCCTGGGGATGTATTTTTGTTTTTTATTCTTTTTGAAAAAATTATGTTTTTAGAGTCATGTCGGTATATATGTATCCGACTTGTTTTTTTCTGTCGAAGAAATGCAATTTATTGCTTTCTTCGCTCGCATTGACGGCGATGGCTGTGTGGTTAGAGCGCGGGTTTGGCACGCGGCCGTCTCGGGTTCGATTCCCGCTGGAGAAGGCAAAATGATTTTTTAATCCTCTAATTTTCACAGATTCATTGTCCGAGCGGGAGTCTCGCAAGGGGGGACTGTACCTGGTCAAGATCTTTCCCTCAAGTGAGGTTTTTCCTTGGCCCTCGGCGAATGCGGCACAAGGGGTTGGGGGTGGGAAGGGAACAAATCGTAAAAACCCGAGAGGGTCCTATCGTAAAAAGGAGAAAGGAAATCGATCTCGCAATCGAAAAAAAAAATTACTTTCTCCTCTCGCAGTCTGCGCTCCTCCTCTTCGAGCCTCTGCTGCTCCGCTTTCTCGGCCGCTCTGAGCTCCAAAAATCTCCTCTGCTGTTCGCGAAGGGCTGTCTGTTCCTCTTCCTCCAGAACTTCGATTAGCGCCTGTTCTATCGTTTTTCCGACGAGAACTTCGAGAATTGGTTGCACCTCACTGTCGTAGTCAAAAAGCTGAAACATGGATGCTCAAATGTGAAAGTGACAAAAGTGTAAATTCCCTGATGAATCAAACCTAAAGTTAACTCTGGGTTCATGGAAATTTCCCAGAGTTTCTTTTTTTTTCGCTGGGTTTTTTCCATAACCCCAGAGATGACCCAGAGTTAACTTTGGCTTTGATATATCAGGGTTCGTATCGGTCTTAGTTTTGAGGCTTTCGCAGCCATAATTATTGATATCAATGGCTTCCGGACGGACGCCGCGTTCGGACTACCGCCATCGGAGCTCAGAGTCCAAGCTCACAGACCGATTGATGCAAACAGTGTGACCAGATCGTAACTTCGGCCCATTTAAAATTGTACAGGATTTGGCTATAAATAGCCAAAATCTGGCAACCCTGGATGCAGACTGAAATGTTTGCAAACGTCGGCGCAAGACTGCAACCAAACGCGGCAACCATCCGGAAGCCAAGGGTATCGCAGAGGTCGCTCACGTCGCCCGGTGAGATCTGAGTCTCGGCGTCTAATCCCGTTTTTCCGGGGATGTACGGTGGGGTTGCAGGTCTCTCCAGAAAATAATCCGTCTGTGTGCCGATTTCCGATTCATCGGGCTTTTCATACAGCTGAAATGTCGAGTGAAAATTAGCCCTTCAACATTTAAAAAAATAGCGAAAAGGGCGAAGGAAGAAAGAAGTATGATGATAGCGACCTCTTCGAGGTACATTTCCGTCTGAACAGGCTCATGCTTCCGACCTGGAATAGGTGGGGGTGATTTAATTCTCAACATCATCGATCTGGAGGCCTGTTGCTGGGATCGTTTCTTGGCCATTTGTTTTTTTTTACACGGTGAGTGTTCACCTTCCAACTAGAAATCAATGCGTTTTCGAGAATAGACATTGAGTGACATTGCTTTATTTTGGTGAATATGAAGTTAAATGTAGACTCACGAGCATCGGAGCGGCCAATGTAGTGCCACGTACAACCCGTCGATCAAACATAATGTTGCCGAAAGGAAGTTGTTGATGATCGCTGCAATGCAGAAATTACATTTATGAATTCAGCGCTATGATAAGTAGCTTCCCTTCCGACTCGAGAAACGCCGAGGTCATCCGTGGGGTGTGAATGAGGATATGTTCGTGTTATATGTTGGAGTATGTTTCATTTTGACATTATGATTTATGCTAAACGCAATGAATATCCAATCCTTTGAGTACAGGCATCGACAAACTTTTCGCTATCACGCTATTCTCTGAATATTATGCCCGATCCGGNCTGGATGCAGACTGAAATGTTTCCAAACGTCGGCGCAAGACTGCAACCAAACGCGGCAACCATCCGGAAGCCAAGGGTATCGCAGAGGTCGCTCACGTCGCCCGGTGAGATCTGAGTCTCGGCGTCTAATCCCGTTTTTCCGGGGATGTACGGTGGGGTTGCAGGTCTCTCCAGAAAATAATCCGTCTGTGTGCCGATTTCCGATTCATCGGGCTTTTCATACAGCTGAAATGTCGAGTGAAAATTAGCCCTTCAACATTTAAAAAAATAGCGAAAAGGGCGAAGGAAGAAAGAAGTATGATGATAGCGACCTCTTCGAGGTACATTTCCGTCTGAACAGGCTCATGCTTCCGACCTGGAATAGGTGGGGGTGATTTAATTCTCAACATCATCGATCTGGAGGCCTGTTGCTGGGATCGTTTCTTGGCCATTTGTTTTTTTTTACACGGTGAGTGTTCACCTTCCAACTAGAAATCAATGCGTTTTCGAGAATAGACATTGAGTGACATTGCTTTATTTTGGTGAATATGAAGTTAAATGTAGACTCACGAGCATCGGAGCGGCCAATGTAGTGCCACGTACAACCCGTCGATCAAACATAATGTTGCCGAAAGGAAGTTGTTGATGATCGCTGCAATGCAGAAATTACATTTATGAATTCAGCGCTATGATAAGTAGCTTCCCTTCCGACTCGAGAAACGCCGAGGTCATCCGTGGGGTGTGAATGAGGATATGTTCGTGTTATATGTTGGAGTATGTTTCATTTTGACATTATGATTTATGCTAAACGCAATGAATATCCAATCCTTTGAGTACAGGCATCGACAAACTTTTCGCTATCACGCTATTCTCTGAATATTATGCCCGATCCGGCGTTTATCTTCATATAATGCAGACTACTAGTTCTCACCATTAGTGAGCGCATTTTACTGAAACGAAATATTCACCCAATACGAGTGCGAATTATTAATTCAATACGAGTGCAAGCGAAAACCAAGCCGTCTGAGTTGAAAAATGCGTTCCAATTGTGCGGAAAATAAACATTTTTCATGACTTTCTGCACTGTCAAAACGATTATTAAAGTATTCGAGAGTAAAAATAATGTGATAAAACGATTAATAAGACGACAAACGGTGTACAATATATAAATATAGAGTGTGGCTCATATAAACACACTGGTGGAGTATTTTAGTTTACCCCGGACTGATTATGATGGGGACTGTGCCTTCAATGGGTCGCAACTTTTTCGGTATTACTCGTTGCATCGGCGGAAGTCTGCTAGAAGCAACTGGAAGTTACTTTTGGCGGATCAATATGCATATCGGTAATGAACAATTAATTCCATTGACGATGGTACGAGGTACAATGATGAACTTACTTCTCGGCACTGTTAATAGTTGTAAGCCTACTGTTACAGAGTCGCTTGACTCGCTCTTCATTAGCCAGAGTCGTGGAGTTTACTAATTTAACCGTAAAATCAACAGTCGCTTTCAATGCTGCCTGGCATCTAGCATTGTGTTTGTTATGACGTACTTCCGGTCGGTGGCCTAAAGATACTAACGGCCGGAACCTAGAGCGCGGCGGTATGTCATCGGGGCCGTGTTCAACAGTCTCATTGCCAAGCCATGTGCCATTTGGTGAAATACCAAGGAGAGCTGCTACCTCAGGTGGTGGCATAAGAAATTCACCGCTCTTCACTGTCGTTATAAATGGCTTCTTCAGATTTACCATTTGCTGTTTATTCCTCAGCCCCACTTTTCTACTCAACTCCTGATGCTCCTGATCTTGAACTTTTTGCAATTTTGCGTTCAGAATATCGTTGAAGTTCTCGGTAGACAGACTCATAGCGGATTTAAGGGACTCGTCGGTTTTTTTAGTACTCAACCCGAGATTATCGTGACTCTTGCTGTGTTCCCGTCTCTTCAAAGGATTCACCTGATTATTTTGCAAACTCGCCAGTACAAAATGATCGCTCGATCTGCTGATGCGCTTCTCCGAAAGCAAGCCATTTCTCTCATTTTTCCTCGGACGATTACCATTGACTTTCGGGTAATCATCGTTCATCTGATTGATATGAAGGATTGGCAGGGTGGTTTGAAGATTATCGCGGTGAATGACGGTAAATGCTGGCGCGGTTTGCGCCTTGTGGGAACCACAGTCGAACGGTGCCAGAGCAGATATTCCCGCCGGCATCGTGAATTTCTCTTATTACGTGTGCAGTCAATACATCGACGATTTTTTAAATGTGGAAAATTTCCTCGAAGCCATTATTTTTTTATCGCTTTCTTAGGAACATGAGCATAAACAGGAATGCATGCACTGGGAAAAAAATCGATCCAAATGCAGACGTCACACTGTGAACGACTCTCTTTGAGAGGTCTTGTAAATTATTGAGTCCTCACGATGGCCGTTGATCGAGACATTGGTAAATTATTCACAATGGGTTTTTCACTCATCGCGATTTTAGGCGTACGATTTTGGCAACTGGCAGTGGAGATAGAGGTCGCGTTGGGCGCAATTCAAATTTGAAAAGACAAGAAAAATAGAGGAAAGTTGGCGTTGGAGGTATTCTTGCTCTCGTTGTAGACGCTGCCACTAACTATGAGGTACTAGAAACACTTCCAATGCCCAGGACAGGCAATCGTGCGTTCAACGAGTTACTGGACAATGTCCGACACCGTCGGCTCAATATAGGCTACAGCCACCCCCCCAGATAGCCAATATGTATATATTTTATATGGCTATGCTGGCCAACTCAATACCACTGACCGAACGGCTTCTTGCGCGCATGCCTTTTCCCTCCGTACAATGACCGACGAGAAAAAGATCTAGACGTAAATACCCTTCAGATACAAAAAAAATCCAATTCAAATGATTGATCGCCAGTAACCCCTGGAGTTGAGAATTGACATGAAATGTTTCAAGGATCCGGGACTTGAGTTCAAAATTCAAAACTTCGGAGGGAAGGTTGGGGTAGAATTGACACTTTTGACTTTTTTAAAATGTTAATGACAAGTTTAAATGTTGATGAAGTTTAGAATTTTTCTTTCACTGCGAAGAACAATTATTTCCCTTTGTGATGAGGCTATACTGAGCTCAATTGATAAATTTTCTGAGTTGTAATTTAAAAGAAAGTCGTAGTCGTAGTGTCCATTTTACCCCACTCTCCCCTATTCATTGTTGATTAAATGAAATGAATTCGGTTTAAATAATGAAATAAGTTTGGCTCTGGAATGCTTCCACATGATAATAATTTCATATTATTTTTTACGAGTCGTTTGTCGATGCTTGTTAATTCATGATCTAGGGTCATTACGACACTGCTATGATATTTGAATTTCTCATGGATTTGTGTTACGAATTTGTTGCGTGCACGCACGTCGTAATATATCATGCGATTATGTATTTCTGCCAGAATTTTATTGACGCGTTGACCGAAGGCCCTTCCAGTGGGTGTTATTCAATCACTGATTATCATTCTTACGTTTGATTTCGGTATTTCTTCTGAACATGCAAAATAGCGCGTGGACTCTTGACAAATGTGTACGTTTCCCTCCGCGATGACGTCAGTGGTGGGATATTATACGGCTGTAACCCTCGGGTACACATTTTGCACTGCTGACTAACTCTCGATGCCATCATGAGATTCCTCCAATTTCCTAATTTACACACATTAATGCATTTATTTCTGCCGAGTTTTACACTAAATTCCCTCGATAATGTGAATATGTTCTTTTTTGCTATTGAACATTCATCAGGAACACTAATTAAATCGGATTTATCATTTCCAATTGACACACGAGAGAGGATAACGAAAGAAACTGATTATTCCTTATGTTTATTGGAGAATGTCCTTGTTGCCACTAGCAACGTAATCTTTCCATGTTCCATTCGCATCATCGATAATCAATCAATAGGCGTGTTTTTCATTATTATATATTTTGGCATCTACCGCTGGTCAGAAATATTGAATGAAAGTTTAATAAATTGGAAAAATACGGAAACAGATTCTCTTCATGGAAAAAAAATTCATTTGCGAGCGGAATGAATAGTAAAGTAGGAATATATAATGACCATTTCATCAATGTTTCAAAGGTATTTGTAATTGTTCTGCGAACGCCACCTGTTGTGTTCCTGGTGGCAACTCCTGCAGTGCTCACTCGGTGCGGATGTCCGAGGGTATATTCAAATGTCATTTAGAACCCGTAAATAATAAATTACTGCGCATTCAATTGTGAGAATACGTTATTTTATTCTTAACGAAGGGAATAATGCATTCTTCCAGTGTATGATGTACAAGAAAAAATTATATTATTAATACACATGTTGTGTGCAGCATGAAAATGCTGCCGTACCTCAGTTGAAAGTGAATTGTAAACTGAGCCGTCGAACGCGCGCCCTGGCCTGACCACCCAAAGCGTCCGTCTAGTTGCGCTTTGTGCTTCGTGTGTCCTTCTCCGTATTTTTAGATAATAATAACTGTGAAAAAAATGCATCGTACAGTGTGAATTTCCATTGGCAATACCAGAAGTGATTGTGAGATGCAAAAGACAGTGTCACGGTGATGGAATTTCATCCGATAGTGCAGTTTCATTGCTCCTAATGCACTATTTTTGGCTCCAAAGTGATTTCTGCTCTGTGCCAAGGAGTAAAAAAATGTCACAAATTTAATTTTTACACGAGACTCATTGTAAAAGCTCATGCAGACATCGGAGTGAGAAGCCTCGCAGTGAGACAGAACGGGAGGACATGTGTTGGCGAATGAATAAGAACAATTTGCTTATTAGCTAATCGACACGAGGAAAGAACTGGCAGGGCCAACGCTGTCACTAGTGAGGTAGTAGTAACCGCATTCAATCACTGCTGGTCAGCTCTCCATAGCCCTCCCCGCCTACCTACACAGTGCGCTGGCCCCGAGCTGCTATTTCACATGTATTCCAAATATTTGAGGAAATTTCAACGAATATTCACGACAATACAGCGCAGTACATACATTGAGTGTGAATAAATTTATCGTTCATTGGACTTGTGAAGGGCAAAATGCCTTCGGAAACGGCATTTTTCAAGGGAAATTGGAGGAAATCAACAATTTCCTCTGCATACACTTTTTAGAAGGAATTTCAAATGCATCGTTTCACATTTGATGATCAGTGCCATCGACCGAGAATATTTACACTTGAATGGATGAAAAATCAAATCAATTCCTTGATGAATAATCAATAATATTTAATGCTATTTTCAAAAATCCTCGAGATTTTTGAAAGACGTGAGAGACGAATTCGACGGACTTGAATTCGAATGGGTCTCGAAGGCTTTGATCAATCAGCATCACTGACACAGGATTCTACCAGGCTCAAGATCAAGTACAGTGATCATTTGTGTTCAATTCACTCCAACATTTGTTGATGCAGAAAAATCTCATTCGCACTGGTACTGGTCCAGAGTGGATTTATGCGTTGGAGTCCCGTTATCGGCATTCAGCTCTACTGTACCGGTGATTTCAGTTTACCCAGATAGAAGTGAACGAAGGGTCGCCACTATCGCTGAAGCCCCAAAAAGTGACAGCATTGGCCTTCTCAGTTTTATCTCTCGGCTAATAAACACAAAATTGGTTATATGTTATGTTATAACAGCGCAATGGCCACTTCTTGGAATGCAGTATCCTCGTATCATCTGCTCTTATTGCTGGGTAATGATAATCGTCACGTAGAACAGTGTGACGATAGTGTATAATTTCATCCCCCTTCCCAACTCCAATCTCCATTGTTGGCAAAAACATCGAGTGCTGCTCTCCCGCGTTTATTAATACTCCGATTCGTCATTGTTGTGTGTAAAATCACTACCCCCTCTGTCCTTTCTGCATTCACTTGAAAATCAATCAATTTAGAGCTCATTTTCACAGCTTCTTCTTACGTTTTTTCTCCATCTCTTCATCTCAGTATATTTACAAGTATATTTACATGGTCCATATGAAGTAAATAAATTTCAGGTTTATTGGGACTAGTTTCTGGTCACGATGTCAAGGGATCAACTTATTGCGAATTTTACAATGAGACGATGTGCCCAGGATGCTCCGAGCGCGAAGAATGTGCACCACATGAGCCGGACAGAAGGAATCATTGCTACGTATTGTGGCAAATTGACGATGTGACGAAGAAGTCAACTATTAAATTGAAGGTAGAATTTATTATCCAAGAAACACCCACTTCCTCGGCCGTTAACGACCATAGCAGCAATTTTTTATGAAGAACACTGTGTGTTCGATACGTTGGCAAATAGTGAAAGAATGATTTTTTCTCTCAATTCTTTCCTAGTTTCAATTCTAATTAAAATTGTTTTTTGAAGATGAATGGGAATGGTTGGAATAATTTCGTAAAATTTATTCATAACCGAGTAAAGAGCAGTGAATTATCTTCTCCACTGACTTTCAATACATTTGTATCTATTTTTTTTTCTACAGGGCTGCTTTCTAGATAGTAAAGAGTGTTATGATAAGAATCAGTGCGTGGAGAGGAATGGCGACAGAAAGAAAAAATTATTTTTCTGCTGTTGCGATGGCAATATGTGCAATCAGAATTACACATGGGATCCCCAGCCTACGGAGCCACCAACTGAGCACCACGATTTCAAACCAGTTCCAAATACTGAACAGCAGATTCTGACATTGGTCCTGTCTGTATCAGTCCCTCTGCTTGTCCTCATAATTGTATTGTCAACATTGTATTGGTGCTACAAACGTAGAAAACTGGGTTATTTCAATGAGGCAAGTGTAGAATGAAGTTTAACACCACAATTAACAGTAACAATGCCTCATTGAGTAAATTTACATGATTTCTTTCTCCATGCAGGTGCCAACCTTAGAGCCCTTGCCACTGCCTCAGCCATCCCCAAATTTAGGTCTACGTCCAATACAACTGGTGGAAATAAAAGCGAGAGGACGATTTGGCGCTGTCTGGAAGGCACAATTGAAGAATGAAGTTGTTGCTGTTAAAGTATTTCCAGTTCAGGACAAACAGTCGTGGCAAACTGAACAGGAGATTTTCAAATTAGCCCACATGGATCACGAAGATATTCTTCACTTTATTGGCGTTGAAAAGAGGGGGGATAACTTGCAGGCCGAATTTTGGCTCATTACGGCATATCATGAGAAAGGTTCTCTATGTGATTATTTAAAGGCCAATGTTGTTAGTTGGCCAGAAATGTGTAGAATATCTGAGTCCATGGCTAGGGGATTGATGCATCTCCATGAGGAAATACCAGCTAACAAGGCTGATGGATACAAACCAGCGGTTGCTCACAGGGACTTTAAATCCAAAAATGTTCTACTAAAAGCTAATATGAGTGCGTGCATAGCTGACTTTGGTTTGGCGCTCATTTTTCACCCTGGCAAGCCGTGCGGAGATACTCACGGACAAGTACGACACATTTATTAATTTTTTTTCTTTCATTCATATCGTCATATAAACATTTATACATTTTTTTTTATCAGGTCGGTACACGGAGGTACATGGCTCCGGAAGTCCTTGAGGGTGCTATAAATTTTACACGCGATTCATTTCTACGGATAGACATGTATGCGTGTGGTCTCGTTCTTTGGGAATTGGCATCCAGATGTACTGTCCAGGATGTGAATAATTTTCATTATTATTATTATTATTATTATTATTATCATGCATGCATTCTCTCTTAATTCATCGCAACGATAGAAAAAATGATTTTTCTTCGTTCACAATGCAGGGACCAATTGGAGAGTACAGATTGCCATTTGAAGAGGAAGTAGGACTACACCCAACCCTGGAAGACATGCAGGAAAGCGTGGTCCATAAAAAAGAACGTCCACTGATTTTGGAGACGTGGCGAAAACATAATGTGAGTGATATTTTCACAACTGTACTTGAACAATGACGATTAAATGATACACTGGCCTAATCTTATTTTCGTGAAATGTTAATTCAGGGGCTCGTTGCAATTTGTGACACAATGGAAGAGTGCTGGGATCACGATGCCGAAGCCAGACTCTCAGCATCTTGTGTCATGGAACGAGTGGCCACCCTCAGCAGAAGTCTCGTCATAAATTCGTCAACTCTGATCAGAGTTGATAATACAAACGAGTCTCTGAATACCAAGGAATCTAGTATGTAGTTAGTTTTAAGTTGTAATCATCTTAGACTCTGCTGTTTTCTGTATCATGTATTTATTTCATTTGATATTAATTTTCTCGGCTGTTTTAAAACACCGACGAGGATTGCCTTATAATGATTTTTTTTTCTGACTTGCACTGCCGCCCGGTTGTTGCTCAACTAATATTAATAGTGATATTATCTTGCCAAGTCGATAATTCATTGAACTTTCAACTGTGTAAATAATTCAAAAGTATTTTTTTCGCCTATACAAAATAAATAACTGCATTAAGGTATTCCTCGTCAATGCTATTAACCATTCATTAGCATTTGGTAACTCTAATGATTCTCACTATTGGGCAGAATGAATCCAATTATTTATTAAGTTGGGAATTATCTCTCAAACTTGGGAGAGAGTATTTGGAAACAAGAGGGAAAAATAAAAAAAAACTCATAAATTATTGGATAATGCAGTGATGCTGATAATGACCCTAATACAATGTACCTGGTAGACACACAATCGTGTAAACCGATTGATATAGCCACAAGGAATTTAGCATAACGAGACAAATTTTTGGAGCTTTTACTAAGTTTATTATTTGGGTGAATCATTCCGCATGCGGGTAAATTAAATTGTCATGTATCTATCATGAAAATTAACAAAAAATACATTTCTCATGGTCATTTATTTTTCTTTGATCGCCATAACACGAATCACGTTGAATGAATGATGAGTTTTTAATTAAAGACATATGTATAAAATTTTTAGATCGACACTTACTTGTCTGAACCGTACGAGGCCGCGGGATACGTAGTTAATTGTACAGGGAATTCTACTGATGAAGATTTTAACGCAGAGTGAGGAGCATAAGCTGCATAATAAATAAAACTTATCAATTTTTTCAATAAAGTGGGTAAAAGACATGATTATGAAAATTAATAGATGAAAAAGGAAAACAATTTTATATGCAATAGGTAATATGTTTACCAAGTATCGTATGTTTTCCTCTTGTAATACACAGTAGAGTTCAACCGTCGCTAATACCCCGTACGCATGCTTCATTTCCATCCCCGAGAGTATTGTAATTCTTGAATTATCGATCAATTAGACATCTGTGTTGACTGACATTGGGTTTTGACAGTGCCAAATAGTGTAGACAAATGCCATATACTTTTCAATTTTTTTTACCTTTTTGGTTTCTCTTGTTTGTTTTTTATCCACATGATTTAAGGTTTATTTTTAGCACTAAGGAAGCAAAAGCATAGAGGGAATTTGTGTTTAATTTTCCATGATTTTTAAGATAAAATTACAATATTCTGGATCACCAATCTGTGCAATATTAAATTTGAGAGCCTTCCCTCTATTCTTCAGCACACAGGATAAGGAAGAGTAAAGAGGAGATTATTTGTCATTGATGAATATGTAACAAGTAATTATTTTCATCGTTTATCGGCAGAATACTTCCTTTCTATCGAATTGTTCGTCAAAGATTTCTGTTGATTCACATTTGCTCACTAATAACATGACACGAACGCAGAAAATTCTGTCTTTCTGTTTTTAGAGAATAAAAATTTAGGTACTAATACATTTTCTAATTGCAGAATTTTTTCACTTTTAATTGACGAAATGAGCTTTGAGAGGAAGTAATGCTGTCTGGAATTTTTGATTTTTTTTCAAAATGTGTTATACGTAGAAACATTAATTAGGGGTATACTCACCAGTGAAAATATTCAGGTCTATGATTTGAAAATCTACAGAAAATTTCAAAGCCTATGTAAATTTGCTACAAAAAGTTGTCCACCTCCGGTGAATATTAAATTTCAATCGCGCTGCTTTATATATTAATTAATTTACACTAGTGCCCATTCGTGGGAATATTTTTTTATATGTTTAATTAACTTGTTAATGGTGTCATTGAGAATGTTTTTGACTTTATTGAGCAATCTGTCATTGACGTAATAGTTGGTGGATAATTTTTTTTTTCATTGAATACTTTCGTTAAACGTAATGAAATGAAGATGGGACAGAGACTGAACGGACATACTTCGTCCAATTTTTTATAACACTAACCCATAACGACAAAATCATTGCTTTCTGGATTACGTGACTGCTATTATTATTATATGTTATATTTGCAGTTATATCCAAAATATACAGGCATAAATGAGCTCGAACAATATCTTCACTTTCAATGCCACGGTCCACACATTTAAACGTGAAAATAAAAAGAGATAATTAATTCTGTAAATATTATCATGGTATACGTATAAAATGAGATATTATTTATTGGGAAATTTGAAACTACCCGCAGGGAAACTAGTTTTTTATTTATCACCCAATAATATTAGTTTTCTTAATCTTCAGAATGTTTCGACTATGATGCGTCTGTGCACAAAACTCATTAGCGTATTAATTTTCTCAGTCTAAGTTAGTTTTTGAAATAATAAGAAACAATCTGTACACATGCACCCACCCCCTCTCCTCTTTCCCTTCCTACCCCTCCCCCCCTTATAATTTTTCAATAAAAATATCATTAACATTTTCAAATAGTGATAATTTATTATTTATAAAACAGACGAAAGATCTTTCCATCGTGAATATCATCATTTTATTTATGTAAATGTATACATACTCATGGGTTTCTTCAAATTCCGAGCGTTGTTACTAAAATTTCAATTTGTGTGTATTTTTATACCAGCTTCACGTACATTGTTGCTTATTCATTTCAAATTTTCCGGCGCAAAACACAGTATAATTATCATTAGTTTAGTACGTAATGAGTACAACATTTAATGATTTTCGTTCAGTAAAGCCAAAGTCAGATACTTGTACATTTAATATGTAGAATATATACAAACTACCCTTTCTGCATTGTTATCATTTATAAATCCGTATGAATTTCAACTCTGTTATGATTTCTTCCTCATTTGGCAAATCATAGTTGCACTGACGTCTCTAAATTTTTCTCTTTAGTCTGCGGCACACATGGACTGTACATACAGCAATAAATGTTAGCAATATAACTACAATAATTTGTTTCTTTTCCAATTCAAGGAGGCTCCACAGTCTGACAGAGTAAGCAAAATCATGTGTACTAAAGAACGAGAACAGAAATAACGCATGCCTTGGGGACATTTCAATAATGTAAACTTATACATTGGAAGATAAAAAGAATTAAAAAAAGAACGCAAATATTCTACACTTTTACATAGAATATTGATGTTAAACATTCAAAACAATTAACAAAGCTATAAACCGAAAAATCATCCATTATTGTTCGTGAACTTATGAGTCTACTTGCTATGATCACAGTTAAAGTTATGATAATATGATACATATAAATTATAATTTTTTAATGACGTGATTTTCATTTGACTCTCGAGACTCCAACTATTAAAAAATATAGACAAAAGACAATGAAATTATGTACTAATTCATCAGAATTATATTCTTCTTCTCTCTCTCTCTCTCTCGTCTCCATCATTACGAATAATTAAATATATTGCCATATATATTTGTGTTCTTTCGGATAGAATGACTAGGGATTATCCCAACTTATTCAGCAGGGATGACGCTGACACTAGCAAAAGAAAAGTAAAAAAAATTATCAAGCATTATAAAAAGAAGCGGCAAATTGATTAAAATGGGTAATGACTTTCATACCACTAAGCTGAATTTGCCGTTATATTACCAAACGCTTTTAAAATATTTTTGTTCTTTATACACTGTACACAATTTGTTAATTTCTCTCCGTTTTATCCAGTGACGAAAGTTGTTAGTGTGCCGAACGACTGGCCATATGTTAAGTTTGATAGGGTTGGACGCAAGAACGTGGTACAAGGCCCTTGCGATCGCCTTTAGCACACAGTAGCCATTTATTATCAACTTCCAGTATAACTTTTAATCTGTCACCTTCGTTGAATGACAAGTGGCCATTGTCAGATGGCAATCGGTGCGACAACGTTCGAACCTCTCTGAAATAAATAATACAGTAAAATTATGTTTCGCTCGACCGATTCATTAAATTTTTATATTAATATTTCAGGTATAAATAACATTGAAATACGGATGCTACACGCTATGCATTCACTTTCATTACTTCTACACGAGGCAAATAAATAATTCATTAGCTATTGCTAATGAATAATATTACATCTCTCTTTCACGAAGCCCGAAAAAATACATTTTGGATTATGGAATAATATTTGAGGATAGCACGTACTTGAGAGGTTTCTTCAATGGAGGATTCGTCTTGAGGGCTGCTGGTGTGTTGCTTGCTCTTGGCAAGGAGGTAGATGCAGCTCGTCTCTGCGGTGAAATTAAATTCTTCTCTTTGGCAGTTATGCCATGAGATTTGTAAGGTAACGAACTGGGTCTTGTTAAATACGGTCTCGCCGTTGGAGCCACATGCTCCTGATCAACCCGACTCGTTCTCCGTGGCAACTCCTTGCATTTGACGTCTGGATGTTTCTTGGGAAGATGTTTACTCNCATATATATTTGTGTTCTTTCGGATAGAATGACTAGGGATTATCCCAACTTATTCAGCAGGGATGACGCTGACACTAGCAAAAGAAAAGTAAAAAAAATTATCAAGCATTATAAAAAGAAGCGGCAAATTGATTAAAATGGGTAATGACTTTCATACCACTAAGCTGAATTTGCCGTTATATTACCAAACGCTTTTAAAATATTTTTGTTCTTTATACACTGTACACAATTTGTTAATTTCTCTCCGTTTTATCCAGTGACGAAAGTTGTTAGTGTGCCGAACGACTGGCCATATGTTAAGTTTGATAGGGTTGGACGCAAGAACGTGGTACAAGGCCCTTGCGATCGCCTTTAGCACACAGTAGCCATTTATTATCAACTTCCAGTATAACTTTTAATCTGTCACCTTCGTTGAATGACAAGTGGCCATTGTCAGATGGCAATCGGTGCGACAACGTTCGAACCTCTCTGAAATAAATAATACAGTAAAATTATGTTTCGCTCGACCGATTCATTAAATTTTTATATTAATATTTCAGGTATAAATAACATTGAAATACGGATGCTACACGCTATGCATTCACTTTCATTACTTCTACACGAGGCAAATAAATAATTCATTAGCTATTGCTAATGAATAATATTACATCTCTCTTTCACGAAGCCCGAAAAAATACATTTTGGATTATGGAATAATATTTGAGGATAGCACGTACTTGAGAGGTTTCTTCAATGGAGGATTCGTCTTGAGGGCTGCTGGTGTGTTGCTTGCTCTTGGCAAGGAGGTAGATGCAGCTCGTCTCTGCGGTGAAATTAAATTCTTCTCTTTGGCAGTTATGCCATGAGATTTGTAAGGTAACGAACTGGGTCTTGTTAAATACGGTCTCGCCGTTGGAGCCACATGCTCCTGATCAACCCGACTCGTTCTCCGTGGCAACTCCTTGCATTTGACGTCTGGATGTTTCTTGGGAAGATGTTTACTCGTGGGTATTGATTTTTTGAATGTCGGAATTCCACTCACGGGAGATTTATTTTTGGAATTCACCGCTGGCAATGCATTCGTGGGTTGTTTGATGGGGGAGGTGAGCAGCCGTGGAATTTTTGATTTACCAACACTGGTGGGCGTTTGATTTGGCGAGAATGAGCGCGTTGGCAAGGGCGATTCTTTAACTTCCTCTTTGCCAACCATGAGCTCCCACTTCTCCTGGAGTTTACGGAATTTCAATTCACCGGGAATTGAATTATTAGCCTCGTCATCGTCATGGTTATCATTATTGTGAGCTTTTAAATCTGGTGTTGGTGTTGTTCTTACATGTCTGCTGCGATTTCCTCGATTCAACAGGGGTGAGTGTTCGAGACTGTCTGTATAATCCTCCGAGTCGTCCAGCGGTAGTTTGGTGGTCTTGATGAGATTACTCCAACGTTTCTTCACCATGCTCTCAGGATCAATTTTTCCATTATCATCGTACGATCCACAGGAACGGGGCCGCATTTTCTTTGGACTCATACATCTTGGATTTACATACTCAAGGTTCTTTTCGAAATGGTGTTCCTTAGATGAGTCGCTAGTCCTTAAAACGCCATTCATATTTCCAAAACTATTGTGGAGCTGGCGGTATTGGTACAAAAGGTCCAGCTCAAACGGACAAAAGGCCAGTGGCTGTAGAAGGCTGAGAAAATTGTCAATGATTTCTCGAGAATCAGCACATCCCAGAGCTGCTACAAATAAACTGTTGGTACTGTAGTGCTTTCGCAGAATGGATTCCCTCGTGCATAAATATGCGAACCATGCATCTAGGGCACGTAAATTTAACAAACCAAATACGAAAGCATGAAATTTAAGCATGCCCTCGGTCATGAAGTCCTCACTGTTAATTCTTTGAACAAGATCGTTGAGAGTGTTTGTCAATGGGCCCTGCTGGGAGGAGGCTTCAACAACCTGCCATACACTGTTACTAATCGGCCCAAATGTCGAATTCAAATGTGGCTTCAGTCCATCTGTCATCATGGCATAGAGAGTTGGGCACAGATTACTGAGACAGAGCTGAGCACACTCATTATTCTTCTCATAGTCGTCCTTCGGATCAGACTGCCAATATCTGATCAATAAATCTACTGATCTACTGACGCAATTTATAAATTTAACTTTGTCATTCAGGTCGATGGGCTGGCCATCCGGAGAATCCAGTGGCAATGCACTACGAGTATTATTCTCTTTGTCATTACCAAGTCCATTATTGGTTTGCTCTCCTTTCACATCTAGATATGATTTACGCTGGTGAACAGCAAAGCTCACCGTCTTCTTCTGGGACTCGAGCATCTCTGCACCCTTGGCAATATCCTTGTTCATCTTCAGTGACAAAAATTTTCTCACGTACGATCTCAATTTAATATCAGAGTCTTCACTACCGTCGTCACTACTGTTCGACGAAAATCCACTTCGTCTGAGAAACTCCTCCAACTGCTTAATGTCGTCCTGTCGCCTGCACTCACCATCGATATGCGGTAATTCGTTTTCTGAAACAATTAAATTAGCAGTAGTAGCAGCAGCAGCAGCAGCAGCCTCTTTAATCCTCTCGGCGTATCTTCTTTCCTCAACTTCATCAACATCCTTGTCAGAGTCTATGATCCTCCCATGCCGCAACAGTTGGTGATCATTATTAATGTAATAGGGTTCTTGCAGTGACATTCTCTTATTGGACTCAGTGGACGATTGTCTGCTCTCAGTTTCCTCGACTCCACACATCTCGAACATGCTGTAACGTTTATTAGAATTTGAAGTTGTTTTTCTCAGGATACTGCGTGGTAGTGGTGGCCTTGGAGGCACTCTACCGGTGGAATTGAGCTCTTTATCATCGCCCTGTGGCAGAGAGACTGAGCGTTTTGAGAGTACCGGCTGGTGGAAAGAGTTTTTTCTGTCCTGGTTGATGAGGCTATTCTCCGAACTCATACTGTCATAGCGGTATAAATACAGAGGATTGGTGCTCCCTCCGCCCTGTTGGTTCAATGAAGAATCAGTCAAAATTGTTGAAGATCCCCGGTAACCCGAGGAGGGTTGGGTAGCAGTACTGCTGCTTGAAGATACAGTTGTCGTAGGGATATCGTTATTAATCCTCATGCGATGACGCATTGGTGGCGATAAGCAAAATAAGGGCTTTCTCGTTTCCTCTCCGAGTTTGACGTGCCTCGGTATGTCAGGCACATCATGAAGAATTTTTCTATATTCCGAGGGGAGAAGGAATGTCAGTGACTCCCAATCTTTGATATGAGAAAAGCCTCGCTGCTTGAGAGCCTCTAGGTCATTGCATGAGAATGGACGACTATTTCTTCCGTTCTTCCTCAATCCTAGTCTCTCATGGGGTTTCAGCGAAATGATATTGTCCAACTGAGATTCTTTGGCTTTGAGAAATGACAGATCGGGTAGTGTATAATTTGGATAAACAACGTAAACTGGTTTTTTATCGACTAGAGTCTCACGTAAATATGGCAAATTATTCTTTGGTGATGGAATTTGGTGGTAGTGTAATGAGGTCTGCACTCCATTCTCCTCTACTTCTGTTATCGTTTGTATACCAGTTGTTTTTCTTAATAATGTTGGTGCTTGTCTCTCATCAATGTGCAAATGAATCTTATCAATGTCTACCTCCGATTTCAACAAGCTCTCAGACAATTCTTCGACCGACGGTGACTCCTCCTTGAATTCTTTTATCGATGGTATACGTTTGGAGGTATTATTTGAGGAACTTGTGTCATGACTCGATCCTCCAATGCTCGTGTGACAACAATCGGTTTTCAACCAATTAATGGCAAAATCATTCTCTGGAATGTTACTCTTATTGTCATTGATGTTCTTGCGTTGAATTTGGGTATTTGTATTGGTGGTACTAGTGTCACCACTACTGCTGTGGCTATTGCAATTGTTATTACTCGTAGGCCAGTCATTGTCACTCGCCGAATCGGATTGATCTAGGGTCAGACTCATGCCTTCGGCACTCATGCTCTTTTGTTTCATGAATAATTTGACAAGACTCATGTTTTGAATTTTTTTACCCGAGGTATTGCTGTTTGTTGAGCTCTCATTTATTGATCTACTCATCAGTCCTGAATTGGAGCTCTGGAGATTCTGGTGATGAGATTCAGCAGAATCTATTGAAAAGTTCAATGGCAACAGACTCACGTGTTCTACATCTCGTGCTCTCCTCAAGTCCGGTAAACTGTGACTTCTTTTATTCGTGTTCAACAGATCCCCATCCATTCCCGGTGCAGTCGCAGTACCTCCTGCTGTACTTATAGCTGTTGTGGCAAGTGACAAGTTTGCTATCGTATTATTATTCCCAGAGCCATGGCGTATCATAACTTTATGAGCTGACGAGTGCTTCAAATTACTCCATGTTGTGTAAATTTTCGAGTCCGAACAGGCCATTGACAGATCCATCATACTCTTCAGATCGATATTTGTATTGTAGAAAGCCTCGCGTGGCTCACACGCCTTGTGACTTTTCTCTTGGCTCTCGAAATCTTGAGAAGCATCTGAGTACATGGTCATACTGCCCTCAAAAGCTATTGTGTAATTATTTTTGTTATGTGTTTGACACGTCAAGAGCATATCTTCACAATCCAAGGAGTCGACACTGTAGCTCCCCCCAGGAGGCAACACGGGTGTCTCTTTCACAGGAGAGAACAGTAATGATGATTTGCATATGGAGATTGTATCGGTCGTCGAGCACGCCGAATCTTCTCCCTTTAAAGAGTCAAATGAAAATTATTACCATTGATTAATCCATGAATTAAAAAAAAATGGTAATGCATTTTTTTGTCTTACCTGGCTGCTGGAGTGGGGACTGATGGATGAGCCAATGTCAATTTTTTCCATGACAGAGCCAGAAATGCTGGCATAACGCTCCCTTTGGTAGTTGAACTGTGGAAATACGTTAATGAAAAATGATTAATCTCAGGCCATCGACAACTACTACATGACACATTTGTATGTTTGGTCACATTACCTCTGATTGTTGGACGGGATCAGTGCACATGACCGGCAGAGCAGTGAGGAGAGTGTGTATGTCTGCAGTGCGAAAGCTCTCCATGTCCACTTCAGCAAGATTGGCATCCAGATTTCGTGCCAAATCATCGTAGTAGCCCAGATCATCTTGAGTGTACGACATGGAGAGAGAAGAGAGAACACTTGGATGCACGTGCAAGCCGCCATCCCTGTAGCCATAATCAATGAACCACTGATAATCGGAATTGTCCTGGATAAATTCAGAGCCAATGAGATCCTGGGAGATTGGATCTGCTGGATTTGAATTGCAGTCAGAGCCCGGTGTCTGTGGATCTTCCATCATTGTTATTCTCTTGCCACTGCCTGGACAGAAAGACAAAACAAAACAATTATCACAGGTGATACTTAACAGGCGATGCAGTGTCAATTGGATTTCGTCATCGACGTTGCATGCCCAAAAATGGTGAATTGGCATTACGTCGTTGAACGATTGAAGAGTTATGATGTCTTTTTGCAGATAACAATGGCAAATATTAATACGTCACATCTCGTTGAAATCTGGTAATTACTCCTACGATGTGTCAATGATGTTTCTCCCTTTCCTCTCGCGGTATTATTGATTTCTCATTCGATAGCACAGGAAGAATGAACTTATTTCGACACACAAGTACTAACCTTCCTACATGGCAAGTGCACGATCGATCCGTCTCTCGCGTAGGCTACGATATGACGAACCCACACGTCTTGTCTCGTGTTTTTTCACATTAAAACGAAAAATACGACACAGCAGAAACAATGATCATGTACTTTGTTTGATGTCATCACTGCCACTTTCCCTAACTAACCAGGACAATCAAGTTCTTGCATCAAATACCAAATCAATATTGGGACAATAAGTGAAATTTAGAACGTTCCTCCCCTTCGACTACTGCACAACACACTCCTGTGGAATGTCAACTGCACAACTGCCCAGTGAGCTTGTTGGGCAATATGCTGGAGTTTCCATTACCTCGATACTACATATCTGGAGGTAACACATACACCAGTCGCCAGTGTGATTACACGACTCCTGCACTTTGAGTTACAGTGAGAAATGAGAATTGTCAGTACACTGACGTCACTCGTGGAGCAATGGCGGCTGCTGCACATACGACCATACGAGTCACTTACGCATGCGCAGTTGCCGCTGTGAAATAACACATTTTTGGGGAGCGACCCTAACAATTCACAGCAAGAATCGCCAATTATCGCGTCCCCATTGTTTTACCTCATTCAATGCCTCCAAGTCCTATGGCCACAGTATGTAAGTATCAATGACACTTGCAAAAATATTATTTCTACTGACATCTAAGAATCTATCTCTCAATTACACCGAAAAGAAGAAAAAAAGGGCGATGAATAACAACGACCCTGATATTTCCGTCCTCAGCAACGAGATAAATTAGCGCAATTGGACGTGATTAATTGAAAAACTGCAATGTAGCCCATTCGCTGGAAAATTCTATGGGCTTTCCATTGAAATTCCATTATACTTTCCCTCTCTTTTCATTCTCAACAAATATTTGCAGAACACTAGTGGAATTTCAATAGAATTCTAGGAGCTTTCATGCAATAACATCACTAAAATAGTATTGAAGTACAGTTGTTCCTTACTTTTTCGTCCATTGTATCGGTATTTGACGTTTGCATTACGTCCATTGATGCGATATCGGCGTTTTGGTTTATCGCAACAGGGCGGTCGTTCCCTAGGGAACGAGGGATTTAGAGGTCCGACGGATAACTCTGCTATCTTCATGATGACGCATAAAAGAACTACTAGCATCATTTGATGCTGTGTACCAGCGAGGCAGCGTTGTGCTTTCCACCCCTCTCTTTCTTGATTTCTTTCTTCTCAATTACCGAGAACTCTATCACAGCATATTCACCATTTTTATCACTTCCATGTACAATGATACACCGAGTTATTGAAGCTGTTTTTTTTATCTGAGTACACTGCAGTTTTCAATGATTCATTAAAACGTTAAAAGTCCCAATTCATTGGGTAGTCGGTAGGGGAAAGGTCACAGAAATTCAGTGGAGGGTTTTGGTGAGAGATTTCCCTCAATGTTGTTGTTTCTGGGAACTCAGATAACGCCCAGGAAACACCGGATGAGTAATAGCCCAATGGGGAAAGAAGGGGAAATCATATTAGTAATAAATGTTTCGGTACTATGGAAAGGAAGTTAAATATCCAGGATTGATATTAATAGATGTTACGTCAATTGGAGTGCAGAGGGACGCGACAAAGCCTCTAAATTGCAACAAGTGGAGATACAATTGCTCCAGTTAATTGTACAGCTACCAAGCTAATGAGGAATAATTTTTATCCCATTTTAATATTACGAAGCTGAGTTATAGGAAGCATCGATGACGACGGCAGTTCCTCACTAAATTACGCGGCTAATTAACACTGCACAATGTCCACCTTGAGATATACATTAAACTACAATGAAAAAAAATCATGTGGGCCACATCCTCCGTCACTGTCCACTGTTACAATTTACAATCACAAAAATGATGAAATTCGCGTGGGGAATCAGTCCAGGAGCACAGACGCAGTAACAGAACAACTAAACTGCATTCGAAGAATTTTTAAGAGTATTTGACAATTAGTTCCCTCGTCGAAGCTTATGGAAGATCAACCGAGTACTTGGGCACATTCGTGGACTGAAGTCTGAGTCAAACTGGTATGATTGCATGTACTCCGCGCGGGAGAGCTCTTGCACACGACACGACACGACGCTCAGTTTGATCTCTATTAATAAGACCTGGTGCAGAACAAGAATAACAGCGTACACATACAGCAGAGGCCCTCCCTCTTCCTCAATCTCCTGAAGTTCATTGAATCACACTCTTTTAACAGGATAAAAATCTTATTGCTCGTAGCTGTCGAGCAATATTATTCTCTCGTGGTGATTAATATCCACCACTTCTTTTATGCCTTTTCGTCGATGAAATTTCACTCCAATAGCGCTTTTTGCAGTGGTATGTCTGATGAATGTGGCGTTATTGGATAGGAATGAACGTCGAAAAATCGAAATTAACAACTGAGAACGAAATACGTCATCTACTTATAATTATACGCAAGTGCTGAAGCCCTTCACGTATGAACATGCCAGTGGCATTTTGTAGTTATATACTTCATGTGCCCACACATGCCTGAAAGATGTGTGGAGTTTTAAAATAACAACCCTTTTCATTGGGTCGAGTGAGCGCGCCTGGAAATAGTTAATAATTCTCATACGTTCCATAGTCAGTGATATGGAGAGATGAAAAAATTATAAACACACGGAGTCAGTGAGCCGTTCAATGCACATGAAACTTAATTCATAATGGCATGAAAATAATTCATAACATAGAAATCCAATTTTTTAAAAATGATAAAGTCCAGATTTTAATGTATTGACAGCTGTATGGATGGCATGAACGTAACATTACGTACAAATGAGATGAAATTGTATATATTGGAAGAAAAACAAGAGACTTTTGAGGCCCCCCGAGACATACATGGATGTAACAAACGTGATGTCGCAGGAATTTCGATACAATCCGGTGTATTTCGAAAGTTTTGAGTGATATGAGAATCCGTTGATAATATAATACTTGCATGTCTTTCAACAAGTATCCAACGCTTTGACTTCTCAGAACCAGTGCGAGAAAAGTGAGTTGGATCATGTCCAAGATCGAAGACCCTCTCGGCAGCTGGGGTCACTTTGAAAAATTCAAAGCTAGCACAATTGAAATTTAAAAAAAACACATTTTCTACATTTCTCCTGAAAATTACGGTTGCAATCGGAGTGCAACTTGTCGAGTACCTGGTGTGTAATCCAATACGATGGGGTTGAGTACATCAAATATTGAGGCCGTTTCCACTTACCTTGGGTTCACGCAGTTCAAATAATGTGTCCATAGAAGCACCTTCGAGTTTTCAATTGGAGAACAAGGCCATTGGTGTTATTCCAACAATGAAGAATGTGAATACACAATATATTGTGTTATTTTTTGGGGAGAGATAAAATATTTTTTTGACAGAAAAGATTGGAGGTACAGTCTGAGTCACTCGCCCCTCCCTGCGAGCAACAATCCCTCCGTTGAACATTGGAGCGCATGCTTGGACTGCTGTTCGATCAAAGGGGGTGGTTTAGAGTAGATCAAGTATAGCCCTCGCCTCTCAAATTCTCTCAACTCCACAACTTGTGGATTTGCCGGGTTGTACGCGAATAATAAGATCTAATTTTTTTTTCAGAAAGTGAATGAGTTGAAAAACAATAGTCCCGTGATTTTTCATCATCTCTGTATATTTTGATAGGTACAAGATACATATTCTTATAAAAAAATATAAATTTACTCTGTCCGTTGATCCAACATGCACACACTTTCAACGACAATTATTTACAACCAAAACGATTATTTAGCTATGAGAGTGTTTGATAATTCACATGGCAAAAATTACTCCGAAAACAAAAAACATGTACATTTTTTTTTTATAAACCGAAGGATGGAGTCATATAAAGTGTTGAGACTTCATACATTGTGAGCAATAAATACTAGTTTTAAGTTATATTATCCACGTATAGATATTAGTATGCGTGTGCTTTAATTGAATAGACTTTTCGAAACGATTTGTTCATTCTCCGAGAAATAGAGCAAAATACTGTTGATGTGATATCACATAGTTCTGAAGAGAAAATTAAATCGCGAACTCATCCGTATAAATAAAATGAATATCGTACGAACTATTACCCTTTGGCAGGCCAGTTGCCATGGAATGTTATGGTTAATCCTTATTCTACTATTCAATTATTTTCTTTTTGTCTGTTCCTCTCGTCGCGGCTTCAAACGTATCTCCTATTCTTTGGGGTTTTTCGGCATCTCTGACGCCCGAATATTGCAATAGTGACGATTGTAACAGTAGCTATCAGAACAGCACCTACGGCCCAGACAGCTTTGCTAGTCCCTGATTTTATAATTTCGTCATCATCCTCTTCTTCATTATCCACTGATTGCTCTTTTTTCGGACTTTCCGCGGATTTATCTCGAATCACCGACTGATGTGGCGAAGTCTTCAGTTCACTTGGCGTTGTTTCTGCCTTCGAAAGCTCCAATTTTTCCATCTTCAGTGTTGCAGTTGTACTTGTCATCATTGTTGTCGGTTTACTCGTGCTGGGAGTGATTTCATTTTTCCTTCTATACTCGTCCTCCAATTTTTCAAGAGCCTCTTCAAAAGCTGGCGGTATTGGATCCATCGATTCACCCTCGATCTCATCGAGATACTCCTCCAGTGGTGAAAAATACTTGACCAAAGAATCTGACGAAACTTCGTAAATATCTAAATACTTTTTCACAACTTCAGTCCAATTATTACCCGAGCCATATTGAATCATTTTTATTAATTCATGCTTCAGGGAAATTGATTCAATTTCATTGTATCTCATCTCAGTAGAATCCATTATGGCTTCGTACATTTGAAAACCCAACAGTATTCCCAAGAATTTTCTGCAAATGGAAATGCCAATTACTTTAACTCTAAAATGGTGAAAAATACGAGAATACGAACAGAATGGAATACTCACGACAAATAGGGTTTATTACTGATGATATGTTCATTATCTAAAAATGTGGGTACATCCGTGGAAATTGTGGAAATACCTTCGTATTTCTTCCTGAAATTCACAGAAAATAATCGTATATTCAGTCGTAAAAAATATGAAGCAAAGGAATTAGTTGTGTTCGATTGTCTTACCGATATTCCCACCAAGTGGCAGTCAATTCGTTGGGGTCAAGGAGTTTGTTTTTAATGGAATCGAGTCTCCACATGTCAGCTGCAAGATAATGGGCCAACCGGGGAAGGACATCGAGTGCTGTCATCATCAGTGATACTACTCGTACCTCATCCTGATCGTCTGATTCTTTCACTAGATTCAGAGAGAGTAACCAGGCTCGGCTCATTGATAAAACGCCGAATAATTCCTCTACCGCTGAATCGATAGCTGTAAATTCAACGTAATATCTCGTTTCCATTGTTCAATTATAAAATAAACTATGGATAGTCCTTTGAATGCATTGAAAATTACCAGAATATCGGTTGGCCACGTTGAGAATGGGGCTGTTTTCCATCGACATTTGGTGAACCAATTTCTTCGCAACATTCTTATGAGCAGATAAGTAATTCGCGATGGATGAATGATTCGAGCAGGTTGATAAGCGCATATTACCGTTGCAGAGATTTATCAAATTGGATGGACATTGTGCCTTAAAGTCACTCTGCTCCCAAAATTCCGCCTCAGGTACGTGTTTCAACAGTATTTTACCCATGCGAGAGGCTGCCTTGTACAGATTATTACCGACTAAACCATTATGCAACAGATTCTCTCTTATTTCAAAAGTTATATTGGGGTATGGGATTACATAGAGTGCTAATTGCGTCCAATCATATCCCTGAAGAGATCCGAGTAAGTGCGCTGGTAACGTTTCATTAGTAATTTTATAGTCTTTAGAATATTTTTCAGTCAGTCTCTTCTGTACGAAATCCACAATCCTTTTGTGAAGTCGAGCTATGTTTTCCCACATGTTCGCAATCTCCTCGTGTCCCCTTTCATAATCACTGAGCATGGCCCAGTACTTGTCGACGCTGTCCACATCTGTGAATAATTTCACATTTGCATTAATTTATAAATTATTGAAAATTTACCTGAGGGATTGTGAATATATTTGCCCAATCGCAAAATTAATTCACTTCTTTGGTTTCTGTTACTGAGACCCTCACTTTAAATGTTTAAATGCTGGAGAATTAATTGTTGAGGGTAATTGTTCGAGTCTTACCATTTGCCGCAGTCGCATTCTCCACTAGTTTGAGACTCTGTGTGAACTTGCTCGTTAAAGGCTTCAAATTGTCATACCAAGATGTCCATATCTTGAGTTTTTCATTGGCCATTATACTGCTGGCCAAAAGTGTCTCTCCCCGCTGCCTCAGTGATCTATCGGGTTTCGTTTGATTACCAATGATTATCGACAATTCCGTTCCACCAACGAAGGAAACAAACTGGTGCCACTCTTCAGCCTCCAGTGAAGCATCACCGGGTTTTGTTATTAGGCTAAACTTATATTGTAGTAAAGGATTTTCGAGAGTTCCATCGGTCATTGACGTGATTTCTTTCTTTTGCGTTCGAACGTACTCGGCGTATTCTTCCAACGTGTTCTCCTGTGTGAGGAGAGAATTGCATAAATTGTTTTCAATGAGATTGGCGGTCTGCGATTGTGATATTTACCCATTTTTGGCGGGTGGCGTTATTGGACTCCTTAATGAAAGACCATTTGGCTTCAGCTGCTTTGGTGCACGCATCCTCGTAACCGAGCTCCGTTAATGAGACAAAAGCCTCGATGTCAGAGTCCAATGAGCCATTTATACTGACGACGAGACTCAGAATTATACACAACCACTTCAGATTCATACCTTGTACCTGCGAAAACTGTACTGTTAACAACATTATTTAGTCACTAATAATTTAAAAAAAGAAGAATATGTGTATGCAATGACTTTGACCTCGTGCATCGTCATTGTATTATAATAAATTACATCACATAAAATTTTCCGCGGATTAAAATTCCCAGGGCAACGTGCCCCCCTCGTTCCAAAAATCATGGAAATTTCATGCCGCTCAGAAATTCGTCACTGCGATTTTATTATCACTGCTAGGATCGACGAAAGAAGGGAACAACTCGAAAAACAATACTGTGATGCTACCCACTGTTTTCTTAATATGCTTCTGCTTAACTTTTGACCCTTGAAGACAATAAATACCCAATAGTCATGACTCAGAGCCCATGACTATCGCTCTGAGAATTCTACCTGTTATTTCGAATATATTTTTTTCATCAAATATCTTTGCTAATTGCTGAGCGACGATCTAGGGAACCGAATTAGTTCAAACAATAATAAACTAAGAGTAAACTTAGAACGTTGGTAATGAAATTGAGCTAAAAATATAATGTGAAATTGAACGATTATTCGGTGAGTGAATCGCTCTCCCGAACGTTCATTTATGCGTCCTTGTTCTTTATTCCCGTAAAACATTTTCCATTAGGATTAATAGTTTAATTTGTGAATGGCCTCGATATAATACAGCGAAATTATAGTTCGAGCACTTCGGCATTGTTTTCTATATTTAATTAAAATTTCAGAAGTAGAATTTTTCAGAAACCACTCTAACAGAACTTGCCACTGCGGTCAGATTCATCAAATTTTTGTTCTCACGAATTTTTAATTCGAATAACTTACGTGGATATTATTTGTTTTTCCCCCCGAGGTTTAGTGATGTCTTACGAACTTGCCGGGTTGGCTTCAACTGTTCGCTGATTATCTTTATACCGTTTCGGTATATAACTCAGCCGGTTACGTTTGCACGCGAGGTCAATTGCAGAGGAACATGTATACATATAATATTATTTCGTATGTTTCTACCTTTGGAATGGAAAACAACTCGTCCGTCACACAATAATGGAAGAAAAAAAATGAATGAAGAACAGATGATTACGTCTTTACTCTTTCGATGAAACAATGCGTTATTTGGTGGGTAGAGTGGAAACGCTGACCACTGCCGTTCAAAGTGCAATCAGTCCAAATTCTTCAATATCACACCATTCATTCCGATGGCCTGATCAATGTACTATCCACTCATATCCACTATCCTCGTATGACGGAGTGAGTGAGTATATAGATATATCAGTATCGTTACAGGCTGTACACATATAAATCACGGGTTATACCTATAATACACTATTACTGTACTCGTATTTCGGCTTTATTTTAGAGAGGCTTGTTGTGAATATACTCCGTCCATAAAACAGGCCATCGGACTTATCCTCTAAAGTCTCATTCTCATCGGGGTTTTTCACTCAATCTCCATGAAACCACCGTAGGGATATTATAAAAAAAAATTCCACTCACCATAAATCTAATTTATTGAAACTACATATATACAAAAACTGCCCTCCTAACGCTATATCACAATAATGGAATATTGCATTATTTATCGAGACGAAACAATAGTTGATTTCCCATACACAAAATATTTAATCATTACGTTGTTATTTTTTCGTTTTCCTTTCATAAATTTCTTCTAAATCGTACATAGTAATCGTAGTAATACTGCTATCATTCAAACCACATTTTATCTGGTTCAATTTCATTGTTAAATAAATAACTTAAGTACGAATATTTCTAGGATGGAAATGAAGAGAATTGGATATTAGTCTTCTTGCTTTTTCTTCTTACCTCGAATACAAGAATAGGAGAAATATCAACGAATTACCTATCGATGTATTTTGACGGAGAAAAAATGAATAAAAAACGACTAAACAACTTTCAGAGATGATTAGGATTTACATAATTTCCATCTGGCCACAGATGGAATACATGTTGAAAACTGACGAAATGGAGAATATTGCATTCCTTCATTTAGTTTTAACTTATTTTTCTCTTCGAGACCAATCCCACAAAAGCACCAGTAGGACTTGATGATAGTTATACCAGATCATAAGTTTTCACTGATAAAAGTTGGATTGTCATAGGCTTTTCCCGACTCTGACTGCTTATCATTCGTCATAATTTGAACTCGCAGTTCTCTGTCATTCTCTATCTTCGTTACAACTGCAACACTGCCATTTGCTTCTCGTTCTTCAGCTTTACTCAACTTTTCCTTCCTCATTGCGCGCTCCAATGTAGCCCGGTCCCTCCTGTGCTCTCTGTACAGCCATCTACGCACACATTACATCTATTTTGAATGGGGGACTAATGATCCATTCGCCGAGTTCACTGTTACTGATTCATGTCAATGAAAATTATGGTGGAAGCGGTAGGGAATGGGATAAAAAATGGTGGTGAGGATGAAACCTGTTGATGCGATGTACTTACAAGAAAGCAACAACTGCTGGAACAGTCAAACATCCACCGAGTAAAAAGAATGTGCCTGGTAGTGTGTTCATAGTGGATGCATAGACGGAACTGTACATTGGCCCGTACACGAGGGGCATTAGAGATTCACAGACACCGAATAGAGAATTAACTTTACCTAAATACAACTGGTCGTTAGCTATATTATTTTCTCCAATTTATCAACTATAGAATTTCAGCGTTACCCAGTTCATCCGTTGGTACTAATTTGGATGCTATCGAGCGCATTGCTATGAACGATGTTCCATTCACAATTTCCACAATTGGTCCTGAAATTGAAGAAAAAAAATTATTAAATTTCGATTTTGCTGATTGAAGTTTATATTCTCTCGTTCTCTCACCAAGATACATCATCCAGTCTTCAGTGGCAAATGAATAAACCAAACTTGCGAGTATTTTGCTCATGCAGCTCATCACTCCCACTAAAGCATCATCGATTTTCAGGAAATGGCTGAAGAATCCAACAGATATCATTGTTCCTAAGGCCAAACAATAGTTTCAATATTTTGTCAAGCTCGATTTTCCCCGGCAATTTTCAGGGAAATAGCTGTCAGTCTTCAGTTTTTTTTAATTTATCGGTCTTTAGTTGTTTGTCTCAATTTACAGGCAAAAGTGATTAAATTTTCACGGCCATTGTTACATAATCAGTGAGACTTTAACAAATTGAGAATTCTAATCACTGAGTGTAAAATTCACTGTTTTTTTGTGCAGTACAGTAATTTTGTGATTGTTCGCTGGTGGATTATTGAGACGTTTTTACTACCGTAATAAATCGAACGTCGGGATAACAAGACGAAAATAAGCAAACTCATTCGATAAAACTGTTAAATTTCGGTAAACAAATTCGAGGCTACAAAAATATAACGGATAATGATGATCTGATTTGCTAGTGTATAGTTGAGTGAGTACTGAAGTAATGGTGCATCCTCGATGAAAAGTGACCCCTCAACAACAAAGTGAAAGTGGCTCGACTTATTATTGCAAATTCATTGAAATTCACGAGTTGATTCGCGTTACCGTTTCTTCAGTCAGTGCTAATTGCATTACACGTAATCGAATTAGGATAATTTTTGGCATAAAGTAGTTGGATTAACATGATTGAGAAGCTGAAACTACATTGATCTGTATTTCCGCGTTTTTTTTCTCCATCCACATTGCTTCAGTTTTTTTCATTAAATCGGATAGGGTCGATGATTTTAGAAATTCGTCCTTACCGATTAAATTTGTGACCATGCTGTAGGTCGTCCACATGCTGAAGTTTACTTCGTTCCAGTTGAAGCGGTATCTCGTAAATAGATACATTACGGCCATTTCGCCTGAAAAAAAAAACAAAGGAAACGAAGGAGATGAGAATTTTTTACCACGAATATTTGATGATATGCCATTATTTCTCCAATAACATTAATTTTGAAGAAACACAAAGAAAAATAAAAATTGGCAGACACTCGTCATCTCGGTCATTATAAACATTACATAAGGATGCTAGGTTGCACAACAAGTTTCTTTTATCAGTACCATCCGTTTAGTCGTTTCCGTCGAGCGCATTCCGGTCTTTATCAAATTATGCTCTCTACCTCTCCATGCGACCTCTCTCAAGTTTCAAATGTTAACAGCTCTTGTCACATGTATACTTAGCCGACCAGCGAGTCCACGACATCAAGAGTCAGTGAAAATCGAAAAATCTGTGGATAAATGCTCAACAGCAAAGAGGTCCTTGAAGACTACCTATCAATAAGGCCGCGGTTTTTCCGGTATTGGATTCAATCGGTGAGAGTGGTTACGAATCTCATTTCGAGGACAGTCTCGCTGAAATTTGTGACAATTTCGCAGAAAAAAAAAACAGACTATTGCGTTTCTTCAAGTCTTTGCGATGAGAAAAATTATCAATTTAGCGACTCAATTACATAATTCGCGTGAAATTATGAAAAACTTCATGAAACAAATGTCTCGATCTAATTGAGTTTTAATGATTTCCGGTGATATGAACGGGTACATGAGGCTTCATTGTTTCGGAAGGTCAAAAATTGAACCGCGAAGAACCATCTTATGAACAATGCGAAGTTCAAAATTGTCACGTGTGTTATTGTCAGGTACTCCTGTCTAGTGTCATTTACTTCCATTTGTTGAATTCTACGAATTTGTAATTTTTCAATTCCTCCAATGGAAAATTCCCTCAGATTCTCACATTTATCCTCTTCTTCCATCTTTTTCAAAAGAAGTGATGGACTAATGATATTGCCCAGTAGCGTCGAGTTTATGCAATGTTATGTTGAATGTTACGATTGAAAACTCTATGCAGAAACGTCATTTTTCACGCATGCACGTATCGGTGTCACGTGCGTCAATCTGACAGCAACTCGCTAACTTTCTCATACTATATTTACATGACTTTTCGGTATTTTTCTGTATTTCTCTCCCTCCCTCTCTCTCTGTCTGTCTATCATTGGTAGAAAAGTGAAAGGTTGTTTCAAGATGACTTACCATACATTGGCCCGACAACCACCATAACAATAATCATGAGAACAGCCACTCTTTTTTGTCGATTATTGGCTCCTTTCTTGAATGCAACTCTGAATGTTTCTTCAATGTGTCTGAATGAAAAAAAGTCGACAATTGTAGCGCACTTTGACATGTTAGTTCTTTTGTCGGGTGCGGTATTTTCCGGTCTCGGTGCTTCTTTAATGACAACTAATCCATAAACAAAGCTCGCAACATAGCAGACCGTGGATATTGCAAAAACACCGTAAAAGCCAATTTTAATGTACAAAATGCCGGATAAGGCCATGCCAATGGGTACACTGAGTGACAAAAATACATTGACAGCACCGATTCGCAGTGTTCTAGACTCAACGGTCGTTATATCACCGATGTAGCTGAATATTGCCATAAACATTGTGAACCAACCGCCAGTTATTGCCGGCCAAAGTGCCTCCGAAACTCCAGCAGCTTCCATTGGCAATTCGTAGAACCAATATGTGCAAATTATAAGACTGACGCTGGTAAGAAATTCACCGACAATTGGTAAGAGCATACAGGGTTTTCTGAGGCCCGTACGATCACTCCATGCACCCAGAAAAAGTATGAGTAGTGTTGGCAATCCACTCTGCAGTGCCAACTTCCATGTCTGCATTCCTGCAACAAGCTGCTGAACGGCAGTCTCTTCCTCCTCATAACCAGTTGTATTTCTATCGGCTAATGCACTACACACAGTGTCGGAATATCCAAGATTCACCCTACACGCTTTTTCTAAATTCAAATTCTGGGTTGCAAGTGATGCTAAAACACTTGGCATTATGTAGCAGGCCACCATTGGTTCAACAGTTATATTACTAGATAAAAAATTCCACTTTTCCCGTATGCTCATGGATTTCCGGTTAATAGGATTTTCGTTGGGTGATGATGATGATTTTTTTCCATCTTCCGACGACTCCGCTGGCGATGACGAGGGTATTGTCCCCTGCAGGACCACGTTATTCGTCATCGTAGAAATTTATCAATTCCTAGCTATTCCAGGTGGCTCAGTTGTAGACAATTGAATGACCACTCGATATTATAACAGAGCAGAGGTTCCCTCACTGAACCACCACCGCCATCACCACCACCGCCGCGACCACCATCACCACCTCCACCGCCACCTCCACCACCAATTTCAATCCAGTTGTTTCTTATTTATGTTGCACCGATTATCAACTAAGAAGAGATGAAGTTTATTCATCGGTTTGCCCAGAGTATTCCCACTAATCTCTTTCTCACTGAGTGTAATGCCAGTACGCACCGTACCCCACGGTAGCCCGTTGGCATAGTGTGCATTGAAATACTTCGCATGTTTTACAGGGCCCCTCTTCCATTTTGTGCCTCTATATCTTCTTCCCCCTCTGTGCTACTGGAGTCCATCCACCTATGTATCAAACTTATATGTATACATGCTCATTTCCCTGATGACTTTGACGGCCTTCATTGCCCAGCCGAAATGCTGCTACCACCCAACTATTTTTTTCACTCATCTATTCAATTATTATCTTCATTCCTTTCTTTATGATCCGCAATTATAATTCTCAAATACCCATAATTACGACTTTCCCTTTGAGTTGCAGTGCGAATAGCTGAGGAACAGCGAAAGGAGAAGATACAATTTCGCTGCCTTTACTCTTGAGATGAAAAAAAAAACGATGCTGTCTTTGGGTGATTCCGTAGAAAGTGCCGGGTCTTCCCTATCTATTCAACTGCTAATTGCATTCAAACGTCACCATCTCGTTTGAACATGAAGAATTCTAAAATCCAACAATTCAATGCGATGCCCTCCAGTCATTGCCATTTCCAGTTTCTGTCAGTTATCATATATTGCATAACTCTTTTCTTTCAATTAACCGTTTAATGGTAAAAAGCAATACGAATCAAAAAGAAATACAAATTGAATATAATGTCTATATATTGAAACCTTTTATTATAAATGATAGTACGGGTAATTGGCGGGACAATATATTATTTTGTTATTTATGGCTTACGCGAGTGAATTAAGGAAAGGTGTGGTGCATTACGTCGCTGCTATTGAATAATCATTTTAACCACTGGCGAGGTCCTTTTAGGATATAAATCACTACAAGTCCATCTCTTGTATTTATCCTCCATCCACTCTTACATAAAATCCTACTTATTTTTGCAAAAGTAATAAAAATGGCCGTCTGTGTCATTATACACCTTGAACTTCAGATGAAATACAAACTGTTTACATTCAGGCATGGCCATAAGTGCCTGTACCAACAAGGACGTTGGAGAGCTTATCTAATTTACTTCATCAACACCCAAGATTATAAGCGAAGAGGATGGGGGAGGGGAGTAAGAATTGTCGGGTATACCGGTCGAAATTATCTCGGTGAGTCTTGTCTCCGAGCCAACAGAATTGACACAAAAAAAAAAACAAGCGAATATTCTCTAAAACTTTTTTTATTTCTTTATTTTAAAAATATACAAATGAATAGTATATAATATTGCTCTTCAAGCTGAGCGATGATTGCCGATTGCAAAACTCTTTTAGTGGTACACGAGAACCTCGTAATCCCTGAAAGACAGCTCTTCCCCATCGTATGGAATGTACAGACAGCCGTGGCTCGCCTGTATTTTTCCAACAGTCTGTGCACCATTGTGGATTACACGACCAACATACAAGGGTTCGCCTTCGGTTGTTTGTCCACCTACAACTGCATCCGGTGGAATAACACCATTGCTGGCGAACTCCCAGGCAAACTCCCCCTGAACGAGGATCTTGACCGAGAAACATCATCACTTGAGAATATTTCTTCTCAATTGATTACGAGAATTCTTATATCAGAGGCGAAGCGATAAAACGGTTTGGGCCGAAATGAAGTGGAAATCTAATTTTCGAAAAATAATCTATTCAAACTGGTTTACCGCTTTGCTACTCATATCATCACACGAAAAACTGAAGGCACGAATCAGCCTTACTAGGCGTATTTTACGCGGAAATTAATGATAATTAAGGGACAGGATTTTTTGTGTGATCAGTGAAGTCACTGATAATTACCTCGAATTCAGACTTTGAATGTTCCTCGCCGCCGTGGCTGACATACGCCACTTGTTTGTCAGGAATAACTTTAGCGGGTATTACATCTCCATTATGATAAGCACGACCAACGTAGATGGTTGATCCATCGATATCTCGCCCTCCTTGCACCGCATTATGAGGTACTCCTTGGCCGACGTGGCGCGATACCCATCTGTAGGCTGAAGATAATATTTTTTCTCGTTAATTTCGATAAAAACAATACCACTCGTCAGCGGATAATCAATGTGCGCGTCTTTTCGATTAGCCGAATCTATTCTAACAATCGGTATGCGTTAAAATGTATGAATATTTATTCCATCGATTTCAAGTGAGATTGACAAATGGATTCCTCACATTTTCTATATCTCCAATGGCTGATATAACTGTCTTCGTTTGATTGATTAGTTGACGACGGAATGCAAAAAAAAAACGAGGGGGAGAATAGAGATGGGTTGAATTGGCAGGCAAATCTTTGTGCGGAATGAAAATTATTAATCGACATTGAAAATATGAGAAAAGAAAAAACTTACTTGGCATCCTGTCAACGGGTTATTCGATCGAGGCGTTTTAGCGTTAAATGAGACTAGCCTCCGGCGGTTACCTGGTTAAAAACCAATGTTATCTTATCATATCTCCGGCTTTTTATTTGAATAGTCCGCACACGGTTTGAGGGGCGTCGCCTCATTTCCCGGAATTGATGACTGATAATGTCTTCTCTCAATCAGGCATTCAGTCGATACTGAGTCAATAATGAGTAAGAGTATTTTTGTGTTGTATCGTTTCATCTATCAATTGAAAACTACAAATTATTGGCAGATAGAGGAATATTTTTTCACCTTCGTACTTGGTAATTTTTCAAAGTGATTTACTCGTCATTTGATTTTTACCGCTCAGGTATAGTGGGAGAAATCAGGTATAGTGTGAGCGACCAGGGATCCTCAATCCCCACGAATGAGAACCAGCGCCTGAAAATGCAACATGAATGAGCGATACTAACCTCGCAGTTGGAGTGACATATAAATTCTTGTGCTCCTAAACGTCTAGTTTGTTTATGGTTGATAGCAGTTTATCGTAAAACAGTCGCCCCTGTCAGCGTCATTCCCTCGCATCTGTTGTGGAAGAAAATCTCGTGGAGAAATAAAAATGAAGAAGAAGGTAGGTGAATTTGCGTATTGTTTTGAAGAGACTTGGCATTTGTTTCACGCTCTTATTGTGATTTTCATTCATGAGTTGAATATAATTATTCATATCTTCTGTTGAGGTTTTACTGATGGGCAAGAGTGGGTCTGGAAAGACAAGTATGCGGAGCATTATTTTTGCGAATTATATCGCCAGGGACACTCGACGTTTAGGAGCTACAAGTGAGTAATCCGCTTTGAGACTCAATACTTGTTCACTTTTATTCCATCAAGAGGATCATTGCAGTAGGGCAGGTTGGGGTAAAACGGACACTTGACTTTTTTTAAATGTTAATGAAGGGTTGAAATGTTGATAAAATTGAATAATTTTTTTTCAATACAAAGAACAATTCTTTCCCTTTGTGCCGGGCCTGAACTGAGCTCAATTGATCAATTTGTTTCTGAGTTATGGATAATTTTAAAAAAGTCTAAAGTCTCCGTTTTAGCCCACTCTCCACTATGAATTAACAATAAATTATCGATACAGTTGACGTGGAGCACAGCCATGTTCGTTTCCTGGGGAATCTCGTGCTCAATCTGTGGGACTGCGGAGGACAGGAAGCCTTTATGGAGAATTACTTCGCCTCCCAGAGGGACAATATCTTCAGGAATGTCGAGGTTCTTATCTACGTTTTCGATGTTGAGTCTCGGGAATTGGACAAGGACATGCACTATTACCAGAGTTGTTTGGAGGCTATTCTCCAAAATAGTCCGGAAGCGAAAATATTTTGCCTCGTACACAAGATGGATTTAGTCCAGGAGGACCAGAGGGACCTCATTTTTCGGGAAAGAGAGGAGGATTTGAAGAGACTCAGTCTACCCCTAGAATGCACGTGCTTCAGAACGAGCATATGGGATGAAACATTGTACAGGTGAATAAATTGAGAGGAAATTATCGCGTGACATTGGTCGATTCAATTGCTCCAGGAAATTCACATAATTTACTCTTGTCTTACTATTCCAGGGCTTGGTCCTCTATTGTCTACATGTTGATTCCAAATGTCAAAGAGCTAGAACAGAGTCTCAATCAGTTTGCCAATATCATCGATGCTGATGAGGTTCTACTCTTCGAACGTGCAACATTCCTAGTTATTAGCCACTGTCAGAGACGTTTCCACAGAGATGTTCATCGATTCGAGAAGGTCTCCAATATCATCAAACAATTCAAGTTGAGCTGCAGGTGAATTCCATTTTCCTATCATAAATCCAAGCACTATTCCAAGCAGTGTTGTTTGAATGATTTCGTCCATTCGGTGTTTAGCAAATTGGCGTCACAGTTTTTGAGCATGGAAGTTAGGAACACTAATTTCGCAGCCTTCATCGATGTTTTCACATCGAACACATATGTTATGGTCATCATGTCAGATCCTGGCATTCGTAAGTATTGTCAAATACTTCATCCTCTACTTCTTGATACAAATGATTATGCAGTCTTATTTATTCATTTATTTTTTATTGTAAGCATTGAAAACTACGACTTTTTCCAAGAAAAATAATTTTTCACACAAATTAGGTTATATAAAAGGAATTGAATTTAGTAGATAAAAAATTGTTAACGAGAATATCGGTTAGATTAATTTAAGTAATCTTTCAACTGAGTTAAAGGTGATATAATTTAGGGGAGGGTAGGGTAAAATGGACACTTTAGACTTTTTAAAAATTATTCATAACTCAGAAACAAATGTACGAATAGAGCTCAGTTTAAGCTCATCACAAAAGGAAAGAATTGTTCTATGTATTGAAAAAAAAATTATTAAATTTCATCAACATTTCAACCCGTCACTGATATTTAAAAAAAAATCAAAAGTGTCCATTTTACCCCAACCTCCCCTAACTTTTTCATTCACTAGAAACTTTTCTTCTGTTAATTCCCTTTGCACAGATTAAATCAACTTAAATATGAATTTCAGCTTCTGCCGCGACGCTGATCAACATTCGCAATGCTCGAAAACATTTCGAAAAATTGGAACGAGCGAGTCAAAGCTCAGCGCTGAGTGGATAGAAATCAGCACGACCCAGGCATATAGTTGCCCGGGTCCAAAAACTCAATTGGCTTTAAAGAATTTTTTCATTCGCATTCGTTATGAATAATTCCCCGGTGGGAAGCAATCACTGTGACTACTCGAGACAGATCTTGTTGATCACAACGGCAGAATAGCCAACAAAACATCATGGAATAAGTACATTTATAGGGTTCTTAGATAAGAGAAGCTCAAAAATTGTGCTGACGGAATGAGAGAAAGAGAAAATCATATCGAAGCTATGAAATTCAATTCCAAGCTATGCTACGTCCCTTACCGTTTAAAACATTACATTCTAGTCCTCTAATCATGGATAATAAATGAAGGTAATCTCAGATAGCTTTGGTTGATTTTCTTCTTCATGATCTATTTTGTATTTCTTATATGACGTGTACACTTATATCTTTCATGGATAAAATTGTCTTCTACTGCGAATTTATGGAATTTATTTGTTGCTCATACTACTCTTCAACTGAAATGAGTATGAGGAATGAAGAACTGTTCTCAGCAGTGGAAATGTAGTGGTTCCATTGGCGGAACTTTTAATAAAGAAAAAATATACAAGTGTTGTTAGTCAATATTAGTTTTTTTCTCTTTGCATTCATTTGCACGACGATTTTAAAATCTCCCGCTCGTGGCACAGCTGATTGGCGAATGGCGGATTTATGTTTAATCATCAATCAGCCATTCGGTATTGTCTGTGATAAACTAGTGGAAATAGATCGCCTAATCGTAAGTGTAGTTTGTTGTTCTCACTATTTGTCAAAAGAATGGACAGGATAATCAAAGGAATAATGAAATACAGGCAGTGTCACAGAGACGGAATGGTCAAGCAATTTCAAATGGTTCGAGATCACCCCGAGGTGAGTATTCAATAAATTTTGTAAATAAAACTTTATCATTGTCTCATCATTCTCGCATACACTCACTATCACATGTCCACGTGGTCACTAATAGAATCTCAATCACATGCTTTCGTTTCTCACTTGTTGTTTGTTATTGACTTGAGCGAATTATTTTTCGGATAGTGAATTTCTTCAGATGAGAGAGAAGTGTCGAATGAAAATATCGCATCACGCATTCCAAATAAAGATATTTAATGTGTTTAATGTTTCCTTTTTATCACAGCCTAAGGCAGTGTTCTTTACATGCATGGACTCTCGGATGATCCCCACTAGATTTACTGAAACGAACGTTGGGGATATGTTTGTGGGTATGAGAAAAAAATCAAATAATCCTGAAAAAAATGAGAAATATTATTTTAGCTGTGATTACTCGCATCGTGCGTGATGCACTTTGTTCCCCGCTACTAACTATATGAGAACTAATGCACAGTAGGAGCGAGTGGGGCAAAATGGAAATTTATTTTGTTTTCAACTCCATTATTATAATAATTTAATAATATTAATTAATAATATAATAATTAATAAATTCTGTATTATTAAATTATTATTAAATTTGCGATGAAGTGGATTTACAAAAAGTACAATTCTCCTCTGCGATGAGCCTGCACTGAGCTCAATTAATCTATTTTTCTTCTGAGTTATGAACATTGTTAAAAAAAGTAAAATGTGTCCATTTTGTCTCACCCTTTCCTAAAATATTAAACTTTAGACTATATCACTGAATTTACATTTTTTTGCTTTCACATTTCAGTTCGAAATGCTGGCAATGTCGTTCCCCACTCACAACACTTTTCCGACGAACTGACTATGTGTGAGCCCGCTGCGCTAGAGCTGGGGTGCGTTGTCAATGCTATACGGCACGTAATTGTTTGCGGTCATAGTGACTGCAAAGCTATGAATTTGCTGTACGCCCTGCGGGATGAGGAGTTTGCATCCAAAGTATGTATAAGTATGTGGTACTGATCGTCCGTATAGGGGAGGGTGAGGTGCAGTGGATACTTTTGACTTTTTTTTCTAATCTCAATTGGAGGCAGTCTGGCTCGTCACAAAGGGAAACAATTAAAATTAAATAAGAATAAATTGATATTCCAAAAAAAGTCAGAAATATTTATTCTGCCTCACTGGCCCCTTGAATTTTCGAATTTCATTTGATTGAAATATTATATCGAGTTGATTTTCAATTTCAGGTGAATAGAAGAATTTCACCACTGAGAGCCTGGTTATGCGCCCATGCCAGCAGTAGTTTAGCAAAGTTCCAACAGCTTGAAATTACTGGATTCCATCAGCCTATCATATTTCAGGCGGAGACACCAATGCGAAAGTTTGTTGCTTACATTGACCCTGAAGATAAATTCGCTATCGAAGACAAACTTTCTCAGGTGAATGCAGACATTAGTTGATTCGCCTCGAATAATATTCCATTGCTAACACATTTTATTTTCAGATCAATACGTTACAGCAGTTGCAAAATGTTGCGTCTTACGGATTTTTGAAGAAACGATTGGAAAGACACGATCTCCACATTCATGCACTCTGGTTTGATATTTACACTGGGGATATTTATTACTTTAGTCGCGGCAATAAGCGTTTTGTTGAAATTAATGAGCTGACGGAAGGACCATTATTAGAAGAAATCAGGAAATATTACTCGTAATGAATGACATGCAGCGTTCTCAATAAGTTATTTTGTTGGTGATTCATCAAGCACAAATCAACATCGAAAAGTGTTAAAGTTGCGGTATAGGAGCTCTAATTAAGTTATTTAATAATTTTGATATGTATTTTCATAGCGCACACGACATGTACAATACTTTTTTGAGAGAATCTCAAGTTTTGTTATGGAATTCTGTTTTTGTGAAATACTCAAATTGCTGACTTTGAATGATGTAAAAATATCTGCAGCACCAGTGAGCAGGATTTGAGTGTTAATACAATTTACAGATACTAAATATTTATATTTCTATGAAAAAAAACTGTTTTTATTACAGTACGACACTTCATTTTTTTTTACTTCAACATTCTACTGGATAAGGGTCTTCAGGCCACAATTCTTCTCTCGCACACGCAGGGAGAAGTCGGTAAAAAATTATCCCTGAATTTTAGTAGTTACGATGTACATAATAAAATATTATGCGGCGGAGACTAGCGAAAAATTCTATTTAAGCGAATCTAGGGGTGTATTTTCTTGAAAAAAGTTTGCTCAATTAAATTTTTCACTGTCGAATATTCCGCTAGTTTCAACTTAGTTACTATATTTTAAGTAGAAATCAGTAGCGAAGTGGTAAAACGGTTCAAGTCAACTTGTCTCTTAGTTGAGTTTTTGAAGAATATCTCCGAATCTAAAAGAGATCATGGATTTTTCGTAACTACCTTTTTTCTAGAGCAAATTGAGTGTTACAAAAAAGGTCCTGATAAAAATTTAGCTATCTCGCTTAGATTCCGAGGTATTCACTAAGGCCAATAGTCAAAATCAACATAAACCGTTTAACCACTTCGCTACTGAAATAAATGCCGCGGTAATCTTTAACAGGTTTTTCTCTCAGTGTACGTGTCGATAGATCCTCGTTTCGAAAATTTGGAAGAGATACTGTACAATTGTGTCCATGTGGTATACGTTAAATTGAAATTCCCACAGCGTATGGACATAAATCCACAAGTAGAAGAATGCATCAACCGATAATGAATAGAGTACGTGATAAATCGAAACGAAATGACTCGAAGGAAGGCAATTGAAGGATCTCATTGAATTATCAGTTGGTATATTTCGCGGATAATTGTGTGATCGTCTATGCAGAGTGCCCATCTCACTACACCTATGTGAACACTTGAGGGGTCTGTGGCGAGCGTGAACTAGAGCATGCCACTCCCGAAAGAGAAAGCAAAACAACAAAGTGAAGGCTCATCGTCGCTACGGAGCGCCGCACACTTTACACATCTGCTGAGGTGATTTTTTTTTTTCGCCAGGAAACATGCGAAAATTGTCGACTGGCTGAGCCCAATGGTCGTATTCTTTTTTTCTTTCTCCTTCTTGCGTTATACGGTAAAAGTGAAGATGCAATAGAACAGTCACATGTTATAATGTCTCTCCATCGTTTACCTTTTGTAAACTAGTTATTTACCACGAAAAGTTGTACATTGTGGGAGAATTTATCCAGGTGATACTGTCTCGGATCGTTTGACAGTTTGTTGGGTCTCGCTGCCGAAAAAAATGAAGAAAAAGAACCGGGTTCCACGCTCCGTCGGGTAACTCATGAGAACGTAACGGTTTAGACGGAATTGGAGGAAAGTGCAAGAGGTTGTCGGTAAAAGTCTCCTTTTGACAGTAACTAATCAAGAGATTCTCACTTGTGCAAATCAGGTGAACTGCGGTTTAGGAATTACAACTGATGCCCATCGATAGAACTCGCAGAGTTGTGAGAAGTTCGATTCGTCGCATACGAATTGCCATGAAGTTCTCAATTAATTATGTACATATGCATGAAATTTCTCCAATTAAAAAATGATTTAATTGACTTTCGGTTGAAGATGAAGAGGCAGAAGATGTAAATTTTTATCTACCAACGAGATGTTTTTTCATCAGTTGTCTCGAAATAATTTGGATTATTCAGCGTCGTCTCGGGAAGTAATTAAGGGAGAAGGGGAAAATTTAGAGGTTTCGTGTACGTGAAATAAAAATTCAAGACGTAGGTGGTCTTTGTCTGGTTTATCCTGAGATCTTTGGGTTATGGAAGTTCAGGTTTACCGTCACAGTAGTAGTCCCCATCTTTAACAATAGGTATCCCGTAGACACCTTGCGTATTTTGTGGCCAAAAATTCCACCACCGTGACCTGAAGAACCTTGGAAAAAGGGCAAACCCGGCGGTCCAACAATTGCCCCCGAAAATATTGGAAAATGCAATTGAGTTGTTACGGTAATTCGTCAAAAAAAAATCTCGGCTTTCCCCTCTCCTCCTCAGACGCAGCATTTGCCTCTGCATGAAGACCTTGAGCCTGAGGGAGATGGGCAATTACCCACCACTAGTATATTAAAATAATAGAAGAGCAATTCATTTTGGAATTAAAAAAATGCGCAAAAACGTTGAGAAAATGTTTAAACATAATGAAGTTTTTTCTTCTAAATTAACGTGAAGATATCAAGACAACCGCTTTGTAGTGAGAAGAAAGGTTGAAATTAAAAAGAGAAAGCATTCCGATCCGCACGGCTCGTTTGTCCCGCCGTAGCATCACTATCTCTTAATCGTTTGTGCATGCAAACTACTCATGAAAATGACTTCGAAGTTTAAAATTGACAACGAATTTGAAGTGGGCTTTTAACGAGTTCTAATGACACCTCTCATGAACAACAAGCGCTATATGGATGATATGTGGGTAATTATTTGATGAAAAATTTGCACGGCCATTATTCCGTGATCTTTGAAAAACTATAGACCATCGGAGTCTCGGCGAAGTGGGAACGGCTGTGACTATGAAGAATTTATGCTTGGACACACACCACTGCCGTCGCGCAGTCTTTTTCGGTCTTTTCGTCGACAAAGCAAACAAAATAATTGTCAATATACTAGATAAAATTGAGGAAATGGCGCAGAACACAAGGTTTACCGCGCCCTCCGCTATTCTTCTGAATATCATGAAGCCATTGTGAGATGAATTGCCCATTCCGATTGTCAGCTTTTACCGATAATCACTCCAGGAGGAAATTCGTCCTATCGAATCTCTGTATCACGCGGGAGATATCAGGAATTGACTTTCCAATGGATTCATGGTTTTTAACAAAATTGACGGTTAATTAAAGCGATAGCGGACTGGTTTATCTGGAATTATGTTAATTAGGCGTAGTTTTTAGAAATTAAATCTTGCGGAGTAATTTTTGTATACGAGTCTGTGATGATTTTTTAATAACCCAACACATGTGAATTAACGAATAATTTTAAATTATCGGATCTCCATTTCTTTTCCCAAACTTGGTGATTTATAGGGAAAAGTTATTTTGATGACCTCGAAAATCAAAAGTGAAATTTTCATAATAGATATACCTTCCGTGGTCCCTAAAATATTTTTCCGAGATTTTTGAAAGAACGTGGGAAAAATTTTGGACTTTGCAATCTCCGACTTTTTTTTTCATCGAATTTACATGAAAAATTTATTCGCTCAAATTGTCACACCTGTCAGGAACGGAAATTCCGTAAAAATATGGAGCAGAGAGAACATCGGTGAGTGAATCATACCTACGGATCACGTCCCACGAATTGGAGTTTTTGATACAGGTATGTGGTCAAGTGACACGATTTTTTGGATTCAACAGTTGAGAACGACCCAGTAGAATTTTTTTCTCTCTCTCACGAGTAAACCGGTAGGAGGATAAGGGTCTACATAAAAATGTAGAGCATGAAAGACCTAGGTGAACACGTTGATTCTAACGCTGAGCCCCGAAATTTTGAGAATAGAAAAAGATCCGTTAGACTTAACTGTTTAATGGCGCAACGTCGAGTCGGGAGAAGTGGAACTGTAACTGATATTTATCTTTGACGAAATGTACTTGGTATATTCTCAAATGAGTATAGATAAATCCTTCACGCAGAGCCCTGTACTTAAAAATACATAATGAAAATTGCTCGGAAAAGGCTATCAGTGCTCGCCTATTCGGTTTATTAGGCAAGCATTCAATCAACCGTGTGTTCAATATCCTTGAATTTTTTCAATCAATTTTTGCCGAACGTCATGCCACTCATTGTCGCAACCGCATACCAGTCACTGCCCCACGGAGATTCTCATTAGAATATATTATTCCAATCATACAAATTCCTGTGCACATTGCCCATGTCTGCCATGCCCATTTCATTCCTATTCCCTTACTCATCCCTCTGAACAATTCCCATACATTATTTTATGACGATAATTCCTCTACTGCTGCCACCGCCGCTGGTTCATTCACTCGTGTCACCACGTAGTGCTATTTTTGGGCTCAACTTTTTTACCACAACAGTCGATCGAGCAAATCAGATATGATGCAATGAGCATTGGTGCGGTGAAATTATGCAAAATTCATAGTAAAAACGGCACATTGAAAAAGTTTTTAGAGGCACTGCAGAGAGGAACCTACTTGTATAAACCGACAAATTGGCTTCTCGTGTCTACTTGATTGCGTGCCGCACTTTTTTCACTCGTATCACTTCATTAATTGATCTTGCGCGACCATATTGACATTAGGATTTTGCTTAGACGTTTATTTAAACAGTCCAATTCAAGGTCTGGTGTAAATACGCCCCATTACGACTGTTAGGTAGCAAGAATATTTAATCGTGTGGATTCATTCGCCGTTTTTTGATTAATTTATCGTTGAATTCAGTAGCGAAGTGGTAAAACGGTAAAAGTCAATTTTGACTATTGACCAGTTTTCAATGAATATCTTGGAATCTAAGGGAGATGGCAAAATTTTGATTATAACCTTTTTTGTAGAGCCGATTGAGAGCTACAACAAATGTAATGATGAAAATTTCGCTATCTCCCTTAGATTCGGAAATATTGCTCAAAAACTCAACTGAATTGGTTGTGTGCAGAATGTGTTTGTGTTAAATAGTCCAGGAACCCCATTCACGTCAGACAGTGATTATTATTGGAAGAAAAAATGAATATCATCACCTGACATAAGTTGAAGAGAAATGTAATAGAGAAAGAAAAATAATAAAATAACAGTGTTCTATAAAAGGTCTTTCCTCGGTATTGTACATGAGGCATGCTCGGTATTATAATACACGTTCTCACACACGACTGAACCATACATTGACAAGTGTGTGTGTGTGTGTGTGTGGCTTGTACAAGTTCAAGAACAATGGACGTCACGATTTGTAATGTACGATTTTGCCGGACGTTGGAGTCAAGAAGGAAACAAATGGTGAGATGGAGAGAAAAAAAGGAGGAAGGGGACGGGAGAGCGAAATACACACAGTGTCAGACGCGCGTATATTGTGGCTCGGGTT